AATGGAATTTTTTGCAAGGGTTAATATAGTATGGTAATTACATAGAGATACATGTATGTGATGGCTTGATAGCATATACTTTGATCAGCATTAGTCAAGTTTTGAAATCACTTTATCCCGCAGCAAATTTTTTTACCAAGCACTGGTACGGGACAGTGGGTTTGAAAACCTGACTGTCCCGTAGCTCAGTGCTACAAAGTGCTCATACGGGATAAAGGTGTTTGACTTCGTGAATATCCCGCGAGCCCTATAAAATTACGTGACAGTGTAACTTCGATTCATCATATCCCGATCTGTGAAAAACATTTGTCGGGGTCGGGACTAATAATCAGATCTGAGGATACTCCGGAGGTATTTTCCCATTTTCAGCTATTTAATATAAATAACAACATATTGCGCCTTTCGGAAACCAGATTTATACGACCGGATACCTGATGATGAGATAACTTTTTCTAATTTTCATGCACCTTTTAATCGCACGGGCTATGGCAGTGAAATTTTTATTTATATACCTGACCAATTGTTTTGTATTTGAAGGCAAGACTTCGAACCGCCTGACATTGAATTGATATTGGTTAAAATAAGAGTAAAACATTTAAAAAATTTAATAGCCTCGTTCTATCGACCACTCGGACAGAATCGAGTTTAATGCTGAAAATAATAAAAACACGTTTGGAATCAGGATGATTGAGAATTTAAATGTGGGTGATATGGTTCAAATGTATTGGTTCCGAGGCATATTAATATAATTTAGACAACGAATTTGGTAACTTTTTTTGTGAAGACATTAAATATTATCGAACTGATAAAAGAGTCAACGCGTCTTATTTATTTACGTCACCCAAGATTTTTTTCCTCAAGAATTTTCCATCCTGCAGCTGTTTTTGACCGAGATGCACTGAAACGTTTTCTTGGCTAATACTCAACCAATTCTGTCCAACATCCTAAAACTGTATTATACCAAGGGGTATTTTCTATGATTTCTACTTTTCAAATTATTATTTTTTCAGTTTTCTATGTCCTAGACTGTGTTTTGTCTTCCCTTTTTTTCGTATTCATTACTTTATTTATTTATATCAGTAAAATATTTTACACAAGAACACCTCGATCGCCTTTCAGCATTATAGAGGAGCAAATAAACACAAATAATATAATATAATAGCAAATATGTGCTGGTCAGGCACATGAGTTTTCTGGGTGATATCAGGTCTGGAAGCCGGGTCGGTACTCGTTAGGTTTTGAGAGTCAAATTGTTGGTGTGAAGAAAAGTTGCAACAGTTGTCAAAATAAGTGAATAATTTTTATCTAGGGAGATGTCAAGATCTCCATGCTTAAATAAGTTCAAGTAATAATTTTGATTTCTATGTTCAATTTGTGCTATTTCATTGATATCTTTAAATAATTTTTCTCTCTCTGCAGTTAATAGTAGACAGTGAAAGAAAACATGTTTCAAGGTTTGGGGAAGTCCACATGTACAATTAGGAGTATCAATAAAATTAAAGTTGTGAGCATATAACTGGGCTTTAAACAGGAGATCAGCTCTAAGTCGATTAATGATAATTTCATGATTTCTTGAGATGTTGAGTTGGCTTGCAGATATAGTTTGAGGTTGATCCGAAAAAATAACTTTTGTTTCTGTTTGAAGGTTTGAAGAGTCTTACAAAGTTTGATTTTATTTGGAAGACTAAGCCAGCTAGAAATAGCAGCTGGAACTGCGGATTTACGATAGGTTTCTGAGCATCGGACAGGTAATCTGAATTCGCGGTGTTCGCGAAGATCACGACCCCTAGGGTTACGGAATTTTTCAAAAATTTCATCAACGTATATTGGAACAGGGCCATTAACTATTTTCAACATTTGATTATTTATTTGAATTTTTCGCCGGGTTTCCAGAGTAGGCCACTGAAGTAGAGAAAGCACCTTATCGAAACTGCTTCCATAAAGACAACCAGAGCAAGATACATGTGTGCAGCTTGATAGTATAATCCGTCTAGTCTTTGAAGGAGGTACTTAGGAGCTGTATTGTACAGGACAGTTCCATATTCAAAATGTGGACGAATGAAAGAATTAAAAATAGTTTCAATGGGTTTAGAAGTCATCATATTTTTGAGTGCCTTTAATGGACCAAGCATTTTACTAATTTTGTCAAAGATATCATTTGTATGCTGTCTATGAGTTAGACAAGGGTCAAAAGTATAACCAAGATGTTTGTGCACATTGACTCTCTCAATTTCCATATTATTTAAAGTAGATGAACTAACATTGTCTAGTTTCATTTTGGATCCGTGAAAAATGATTTCACAACTTTTTTCAGGCTTAAACTGTAAGCCCCATGTTTTCGACCAAAGCTCAATATTCTGGAGACTCAAGTTCACAGTATTATCAATTTGATGAGGATTCTTAGGATCAAAGGAAAAATGAAGCGAAGTATCATCCGCATAGATGTAACACTGTTCGTTTAAGTTATCAGGAAGGTCATTTATATAGAGGATGAAGAAAATAGGACCAAGTATGGAGCCCTGAGGTACTCCACAGTTTATAAATCCAGATTCAGATGAGCCTGATGAATCACCACCGATATTTACAAACATCTTTCTATCACTTAGATAAGATTCAATAATTTTGAATAACTGTCCATGGATACCATAGGATTTTAGCTTATGTAGTAATAGTTTATGCGGAACTTTGTCAAACGCAGATGCAATGTCCAAAAATATTGTTTTTGTTGCTTTACCTTGATCAAAATTATATGAAAGAAAGTGCTCCATCGCCAGTAGCTGAGAATGAGTACTATGTCCAGGTAAGAAGCCAGACTGGTGTTTAAAAAGAAGTTCATTGGTCAAAAGGTGTTTTTTTATTCGGTCAGCTAGAACTTTTTCTAAAAGTTTTGAAATGGTACTTAACAATGTTATTAGTCTATAATTCGTAATATTAGTTTTGTCATTTTTCTTGAATATTGGGCAGACACTTCCAGTCTTCCAACAATTTGGAAATGTTTTATTTGTAAGAAGTTTATTAAAAAGTATTGATAGTGGTCTTGAAATTGTATGAGCAGTTAGTTTAAGCTTCCTATTTGTAATCTTATCTGGTCCACAAGATTTAGAAGGATCAAGTTGCAGTATAAATTTCATGATTTCAAATTGATCAGTTTTAGCTGAAATGAGAAGAGAGTTTGTTCTAAGAGGAAAGTCAGGTAGTGGTCTATCATTTATGTCATCATGGTTTTTATTAACAAAAAATGTCAAGAAGGCATTAGCCTTTTCTAAATTACTTGTAAGAGGTGCACCAGTATTAGGGTCAAGAATGGTTGGAATGCCAGATAAATTAAATTTTTTACCAAGAAATGAGACTAATTATTTTCCAATAACTTTTGTCATTTTTACTTAGATTGTCCATAGTCATTTAGAAGTCGTTTTTCATGAGAAAGTTTTGCCTTGTCTTCTCTCCCCTCATTTTTTGATATTTCATCCCCTCAAATGTTCGATCAAATTACCTCTTCAGATCTAGGAAAGGTAAATTCATCCACTGTTTTTGTCCTAAAAAGGTAGATCCTATGCTTATTACATTTTTACCCTTTTCTAACTAGATAACGGCAACTCCGCGGAGTAGCAAATCCCAACGAACAAAATATCAATTACCGAATTCCAATCAATTATACTCATTACTTTGGTTGAAAAATTAGATTTTAGAATTGCGAATTCCTGCAAAGCAGCCATTTAGAATTTTCTGAGGTACAAATCTGAAAAATAATACCATAATTGTGATCTACTCCAAAATTCCTACAATTTGAGTATAATATAGCCATACTTTGAAGGGATCGAAAAATTATTGCGAAGTCGTACATTAGACGGCCATTTTGAAATTTACGAGGCTCGAATCAGAAAAAAGATACAATATTTGCAATCTACATTTAATTGCCTTTCATTTGAGTATAATAAAGCTATACTTCAGAAAGATCTAAAAATTAGCGAAAAATTCTGTTTTCCTGTCCCCCCATACATGGCCCCTGGGGGTCAGGATGAAAAACACAGAATATATGTGAAATAGATAAATGTTGTGAATACACTACCAAAATTTCAAACAATAATATTAATTACTTTGGTTTAGAATGAAAAATTTATGATTTTTGCGAAAAAGTCCCTTCATTTTTAAAGCGGCGGCCATCTTGAAAAATTTTTTCTTGCGTAAAACTTTTCACCAATATACATCTTTCCACTAAATATGAAGAAAATCTGTCAACTAGTATATGAGTTATCTTCCGGACAGACGGACGGACTGACTGACGGACGGACTGACGGACTGACGGACAGACAGACGGACGGAGGGCTTCACTATATCCCTAACGAACTTCGTTCGTTGGGATAACTAGCAAAATATACATGTTGTTGTTTAATTGAAAAAGTAGAAAATACACAAAATTCTCCCCCTTTTGACCTCATTTGGCATACTTTTTGAGACTTTCATACACCTCCCTCGAGGGTTTTGAATGACCTATAATATGGTACCTTAGTTGCTGTACCTCTTCAACTTTGGAAACACACGACCCCCTGTTGTTGTCCACATTAGGGTTAACAGTATGTCATTAACTAACATTGTATAGAAAACATTTTATACATATTCATGTTATCAAATACATATATAGTATTTAATTACCACAACACATTAAGGGTTTCAACAACTTTGTTATGTTGTATTGCCATTGTATTATGTACATCTTTATGCTGTTTATTGTCTAACCAAAATTTGTAAAACAATATGTGAACAATCGTTATCGTTTGAAAATTCATCAAGTCACTAATAATGTTAGAGCCATAATTTGCAAACATATCAATTTAAAGAGGGATTCATTTTACCTTGCATTTTTTATGTACAAGTACATTGGTTTAAACATTTTAGTCACTGCAAATTATGGAAGTCAAGCATGGCAATAGACTTATAAACAAAAAAGCTAGCCATTCTAAAAGCAAGAGCAATGTATTTGAAAAATCTAATTTAAATACCTGTTACTCTAGAATAGGCGTCACCAATATTCAAATCGTCTATAAACTTTACTGCACCTGCCCGATTCCAATATGAAGATCCGGTTCCACGAGCATCAAAAGCAACCAAACCCGCTGGAAAACAATAGTTTATATTAGACGACTAGCTTGACAAAAATAATATTCTCTTTAAGCTTGACTACAAATAAAAACTTACAAAAATACATTACATTACAGGAAGTTACACTTACGTTGGCATGTCAATATCTGTCCCGTCCAAGTTCCATTAGCACCACATGTTCGTGTTCTATCACCACTTTCGTACTTGTATGCACTAGTACAGGTATATGACACAGTATCGCCATAACGTGTACCATTTAATGCTCGATTTGTGTTGTTTGAAGTACCAGGATCACCACAGTTTACCCCTTTGCAAAAATAGATTTACCTTATGCAATTTTTCCGATGCATTTCAAATATGTGGATATTAATGCAGCATGCGAGATTGAAGATACATTGAGTACTAGAAAGATTGCTAGTGTCCCTTATTTGTTTGGGTTCAAAATTAATCAACATCTCCAGTAGCAACTTGGATTATTTTAGTCCGAGTCGAACTGATTTTCCAGTGGCATAATGCCTATAATAGCTTGACTATGAAGAATGATAATTACTACCACCCAGATCCTCTAGCAAATAAAACAGAAAATTTAACAGTTTTAGACTTTTACTGAAAATATAAATTCATACTTTGGCAAGATATTGTTTTACTTTCCCAGGAACCATCCCCTCTACACGTTAAAGATACAATGTTTGATCCCTCGCTTTCGTATCCCTCGGAGCAAGTATAGTTCACTACGTCTCCTGCTACATGGCCAAGCCCACTAGCATCGTTAATTGAATTGTCATGCCTAGGGGCAGTCGGACATCCCTTTACTGAAATAATATATTCAAGTTGTATCCTTTAATTATACAGTCATTTCGAATGGAAAAATATCACTGAGAATTTGCATATGTAAAATTATCTGACTAATGTAAAATGATTTGTCACCCTTGTCTGTGCACTTTAAAGGCCCGATTGTGTAGTTCCCCATGGAGGAACCAAGTGGGAAACGTCCAAAGGCAACTTCCATGACGGGAAGCTCTGTTGCTGACGTAGTAGATGTTTCCGACACAATGTAACCTTCATCAACGTGCCATTGATTGTCAAAATTTATTCCATTGTTACAGTTACAAAGCTGTCCTGTAAAGTAATAATATATCTATATACCCCATTGGATATAACAATACTCTGGGTTCTCTTTCTAAAACTAGATAAAAACAAAACAACTCTATAACAAAATGCTCTGTGTTAATTAGGTTTGCAATTTAGGTTTGCAATTTACTATCACCTTTGATATACCTCTGATGCCGCTGTCTGCTTATCGCGCTTTACTTCTTGTTCACACTTACCATTTGTACATTGTCCAGTGAGGAAGCATCCACAACGAGTCTCTGAGTATTCTCCCTTTGGATAGCCACCCCAGTATGATCGTGTCCTATCATCAGGGGTTGTCCAGCGGGTAAAGTCCATTCCACTGTTGAAACAATCGTATCTACAAAGCAATAAGAAAACTGTAAGTGTTGGTGGGTAGTTTGCTTTATTAATCTCTCCCAAGGAACCAACATAACCTTACCATACTGGAATAGTAAACATGTACTATGTGTATAAATAGTGGAGGAATTACACAAAAATGACCAAACTAACATAAAAACTAATTAATGATAAATACCTGACATGCTGTTGACACGATCTTGATGCCGAAATTATCTCAAGCAATCTATCTTTTGATCCTGAGAAATAAGAAAACGGACCGCTTCGGACACATGCCTCGAAATCACATCTTGGTCCAACGAGAGATTTCGTATCCATGTGATCGTGTTCAAGGACCATTGTCGCTGGGCTAGTTGACATGTCGCAATACACAATAACGGGTGTTCCCTCACTATTAGGATTTATCATATAGTGGTCTGATTCGTTTCCCTCAGCCTGCCAAATTGAGCATGTTTTCCCTGCAAGTACTCAATAAAATTAAAAAACAAAAACAAATTATGAATCAACTGAAGATGTCACTACGAATATACTATGGCTGATTTACATTACCTTCACCGTAAATTGACAAAACGTGCCAGTGGAAGAAGTTTGAGTTCGAACGTATATGAAAAGTGTAGAAAATGTTTTTTAAGTGTATTTTGAAATAACATTATTTAAAATTGTAATTATTACATCACTTACGAGCATTCGCCATTGCAGAAGGGTGTTTTTTCATCGCTCTGTAGATACCAGCAAGGTTATCATTGATTTCATCTTCCCTTAAACGAAAAATTAATTAGCATTAGTACTGATCAAGAATCAATTTGAAATGGTATAATATTTAATAGCGCTTGTGAGATGCCCTGCCTTGCTCGGTTACATACATACTTTTTACTTTTAAGTTATTCCTAAATTTTAAGTTGATTACCTTTCCTTTCCTTCTGCAGAAGCAGCGTTGGAATAAATAAAACAAAAAATCACGAAACAAAGGAACGACGATTGTACGACGGCCATAATTGAAAAATTAGATGATATTTATGTCACTCTTCTTATATAGTCTGACGTATCAGTAACGAGTATTTTCGTGTCAAATGTCAACAACCCACTTAGCAAAAGCATCACAAAGAACCATTGTGTTATATCTGAAGATGTTCTTAGAATTACTTGACATAAGGAGAACATGTTTGAATTTGATTGCTATAACCGATCATCCTACTGTACTTGTCAAAAATTAAATCTGATTCGATCTAAATTGATAAATGAAATATATTCCTTGTCATCGGGTTATCATCAAGTCTGTGTCATCAACAGCCTATTTCTGAAAGACGTTGATGTCATCCATACTTTCTAGCCACGTATATACACTTTAGGTAACTGAATCACACTTTCACGTCGAGAATTAAAGCACCAAATCTTTGAACTAATAATAAGTTGTTCACAGCCTGGACTTTTTTATTTGGTAGGTACACAAGGCCGATCTATATCACATCGTTACTTTTTGCTTTATTTTCTTTTATAATTTGTTTATTTTCATTGTAAGGCACAGACACGCAGTGTCAAATTCTGCATCTTTCAATACTATTTCCGAGCCCCTTACAATATATGGCAAAATATGGTTATGTGCATAGCAACGGGGGAATTGGCCACCGGAGCTGCCCATAATTTTACAGTAATTGCAGTTGCAATTATGTTATAGAGAAAGCATGAGTGAGAGTTGATTCTTTGCAAATAACGTTGAGGCGTTAGCCGAACCGTTAATTTCAAAGAATTAACTCTCACGAATGTTTTCTCTATCTTAAAACCAATACACTGTCACCTATGCAAGCTAAACGGTAATCTTTAGTAACCTACACGCTCTAGTAATAGCCAATTTTCAATGAACTATAGTAAGCGTAGTGAGTGCACTGACCCGTGATCATTTGAATGGGCAATGTTGATTAGTATTGGATTTGTATGTATTGCATGTGTGTACGTGGTGTCAACGCTATGTTCAGTACAGTTACCGTAGTTGAACATTCGAGAAGAAGCATGGAATACGAAAGGATGGATACCTTGACTCAGGATACCTTCAAGGAATTGACAGATATCGACACGGATGAAGATCTTGAGAACTTTCTTGGGGAACTTATAGGAGGAGTAAATAAATATGAAATAGATAGCTATGCAAGGTCAACTGAAAATAAAATCAACTGGGCAATGCGTTCGACCGTTAATTTGAATTTTTGACCTACCGGATGTTTGAAAATCAAGGATTACGAGTCTCATACTGCACCGTTTTTCTTCAAACTTGTTTTATTCAAAGCATTACAAAATTGCCTTTCTGTCGGTGCATTACTTTATTGTAGAGTCCCTCGTTCTAGCAGAGTTTTGGTCCCCAGCTGTTAGAAGACCTTCTTACAGCTGGGGACCAAAATGCCGCTGGAAGTAGGGACTCTGTTTAAGAGAATAATGTACCATCAGAAAGGGATTTTTGTTATGCTTTGGATGGAACAAGTTTGAAGAAAAACGGTGTAGTATGAGACTCGTAATCCTTGATTTTCATCCGGTAGGTCAAAATTCAAATTAACGGTTGAAGTTAGGACCGCGTGTGCATCTAGACTAAAGTGTGGATTCTTTTTTTACGAATCCACAGTTGCAGGGGGTCCACTGTGATTGCACTCACTAAACAAAAGATTTGCTTTTGTTTCCTGATTGCAATCCTCGCAGACCCCCTGTAGCTGTAGATTCGTGAAAAATAATCTATATATTGTGTACTACCTTCAGCGGGTTTTAAATCTTTATATTCAGTTTGGGTATACATTGTTTACTAGACATTATATATTGATCGGCCGTTGTATTGATAGATTTCAAGCATTATACGTCCAATATTCAGAATAAAAGGTCATGGTTGTAATGCGGTCAAAATTCTGTTTACAATAAGTATGCCTGCATTACTGATATCTTATCAAAATGTTAAAATATGAAGTGGCATTTCTTAAAATAAGAAGTATCCTCTTGGTTCAAGAACTTTATTGTTTATTGCGTGTTCGGTTTTATTATCTAAACCATTGTTTTAATCTACAAAACAAAACTGACTTTAAAAGATTACATTTTGGAACTTAACAAGTTGACATCGAGTCACAAATTATCACGTCGCAGCATTACGAGGGGTGATCCAAAAGTCTTGGACGTCCTGCTCTAATTATGTCTGTATTCGATAACATTACTTAAAACCTTCCATTAATAAAGACCAACAACATAACTACTTTGTGTTATAATTTCATGGAGAAATAATTTATTTTATGTCTTTTCCTGTATAGTTATTAATATAGGGACCCTGCCGCCCGGAACGTAGTATGTATCCAACAGACTGACTAGAAGTCAGTCTGTTATGATATACTACTTTCCTGTGGAAATTGCAGTGAAATTTTTTGCACAAAATTATCAATTAGAGGAACCATTTCTTCAATAAAATAAGCTTTACAAAATCTCAATTAAGTAGTAAGGTACAATTAAATGCAATAAAAAGTAGCACAGCCTATTGTCAAGTGGAAATAAGGCTAGTTGAAGTAAAAATGTGCAAATTAATTTTACCAAATCGGCCATTTTGAATAGCACTTCCTATGTAAACAAATATTAAAAATTACCAAACTTTAACATAGGTGCATTATAGTCTGCATATAATTCAGACTAAATAGGATATAGTCTAGCCCGGAACGGTATTCGCACATGGTAACTATCAGACTTAAATGTTGCCACTATTTGACTTGCTTTGCTTGACCACTATCTTTCTTTAAATTGTGAGTGTTAAACAATGATAGTTTACTTTCTTTGTTACCAAGCAACCAATTAATTGTGTTTTAATGTTGATGTAACATAGGACAATGGAAATTGACACCGGGTTCTGCAAAAACATTTGCGAGTTCCCTTGTGTAAAAAGCGCAATCAATGAATGTTCAGTTAAGAACATTCTGCCAGCCGTATCAAGGCGGGGTATCCAAACTGCGTGCATACTATGAAAACAGGCCTTAAATTCTCATAATTTGAGCCAACAATTTTTAGACCTTAAATGTGGGCCCCCCTTGAAACTTTTTAGATCTGCTCCGGAGAATCTAGTTAACTGTCGCGTCATACACCATTCAGAAGTTTGCGTGAGACTCCATGGAGGGACAGAAATCTGACACACTGAGTATTGTTCCAGGGGTGAGACTTTGACATAGGGGATTGTCACAGGAGTACAGATATATGAAATTTGATATTATTGCTTGAGGTTGGAGGAAATTCACTCACTAGGCTGCGTCCAGGGTAGCAAAGGTTCATGTGCAGTATGGCTAGTGATTTTAGATAGTCATATCTTTAACCATGAGTACTTTCTGGGCATAAATTCATTATTTTATTGAAACAATATGTTTTCTTTTAAGTCAAGTATTCATGATGATAAAAATAGCAATCGAACAATTCGAAAAATTATGAATAGTCGAATGTCGAACCTATTTACTCAAAAGAGGATCTTCTTTTTCTGATTTTTATTCCATGAAAAGATTATTCAACAAGGGTTCTAAAACCTCTTCAAAAGTAGAATGGTATTGAAAGTTTGTTTCGAAGATATAAATTTTCGATGACCAAAATGATGCTGAAAACAATGGATAGCACGAGTTTTCCCTATGGGAAAATAACATGGGATATTTGGTTTATAACGTTAACGCATTTCAATACCCTTTTTCAGAAATTGTTGATACAGTGTAGAAAAAACATTCAATTTGTTTAAATTGAGAAAAACAAGATCCTCTTTTTAGATAATAAGCCTAACATTTAAAAAAAGCCAAGGTGGGGTCCGACTCCATATTTTTTATAGAGTTGGATTGATATTTTACTATCATTGGGGCTTCTCTTGAAAGAAAACTAAAAAACACTGTATTTATGCCCAGAAAGTATTCATGGTGAAAGATATGACTGTTCAAAATCAACTTTTTGGAACTTGGCTCCACAAAATGTTAGTGACCTATACTAAAAACCCATTATGCGCGGGGAGTTTGAACGTATTTGACAATGACAATGATTTTATTTACAATATATTAAGATACTCGATACTTAATTTCCTTATAATTATTCAGTTAATCCTCTTCAGCAATATTTAAGTAATTTGTTGCATATGGCATATCAGAGATTATAAAATGTTTATAGTCGAATGGATAATGGATAATAGTGAAAGGATATAGCCAAGTCATCTACGGGGTGTCCCGAAAGTATGCCCCCCCCTAGGCAGACTAATACAAATGTCTCCATAGTATATGCCATATATCATTTTAAAGCTTATTCAAAGTTACATTAATTCGTTTAATGTCAAGGTTCAACTAACAAATCTGAAAAAGGTACAAGCATTTCAAAACTTAGCGTTCGGCCAAATTTAAGTTCAGTTTAGTTCAGTTCCGACCTGAATGTGACTCAAAATATGGGTGTTATCGTCAAAGGTAGGATTGATATTTAGTCGGAAAAGAGGACGGTAAGGGCTACTACTCCAAGGAAACTCTTCTAAAATGCTTTAAAAATGTTTTATGAGGATTACAAAATACCACACATCTATATTTAAGGTGATTTAAAGGACATAGTCGAAAGAATTGCTACTGTCAACACGGCCTAGGAAGACACACTGACCATTAATTTGTTGTAAAACTGCATTTTAATTTTGGGCAAACTCTAAATTTTAAAATGCCTGTTACTTTTTTCATTTGTGAGTTGAACCATGATACTTGGCAAATCAATGTCACTTTGTAACAACCCACCCACATGTTTTTTTCTTAAATGTTGTCCTAATTTTCAATCCTTTCCATCCCTGCTTTTTCAATTTTTGTTGCATCAATAAGTTGCGTTTTGACACACAGTTAACCCCTTTAAAGGAATAAGTGAATCCTTTTTAGATAAAGTGGAACACAATGTTTCCCATGTTATTTTTCCACAAGGAAAACTCATGCGATCCATTGCTTTCAGCTTTATTTTGGTCACCCATAAAGGATATTTTTAAACCCCCTGAAGGAAAAACATCCATTAAAGCTATCTCTTGAAGAGGAAATGTCGTCACATTGGTTGCTGTTAGATATAGGCAATGTTGACACGGATATTAATTCCATGTGTAATATTAGGCAGATATTGATGTCACATAGGTCATGCTTAGTTGTACTTGATCAGTTTTAATAACTAGATAAACAGCAACTCCACGGAGTAGCAAATCCCACAGAAGGAAATATATTTTGATTATCAATGGCCATCTTGAAAATTCCTTCTTGAGCAGAGCTTGTTTGTCCCTTTGTATCAACATAGAATGTAAACCATATCTGTCAACTAGGAAACAGCAACTCCACGGAGTAGCAAATCACACCGAACAAAAAAATGTTTTGATAAATAGCGGCCATCTTGAAAATCTCTTCTTGAACAGAGTTTCCTTGTCCCTAGGTATACGCATATGAAGTTTAAACCAAATTTGTCTACTGGTATTTTAGTTCTTGAAGATTATGTTTTTTACGAAAATTGTTGGCCATTTCAGCTGTTATCCTGAGGAGAGCTCCTTTATCTCCAGGCATCAGTGTATAAATTTTGAACCAAATCAGTCTATTGGTATTTGATCATCAAAGATTATGGGTTTCTTCAAAAGATGGCTTCCATTTTGAAATAAGCGGCCTTCTTGAAAATGTCTCTTTAGCAGAGCTCCTTTCTCTCTTGGCATCAGCATATTGTATTCCAACCAAATCCGCCATTCGAGCTATCAAAGATTACATTCTTCTACGAAAAATGGTGGCCATTTTTGTAATTCATCTGCCATCTTAAAAATTTCTTATCGAGCAAAGCTCTTGTGTCCCTCGACATCAACATATAAAATTTGAACAAAGTCTGTCTTCTCGTATTTGAGCTATCAAAGATTACGTTTTTTACGAAAAATGGTGGCCATTTCAGCTGTTATCATGAGGAGAGCTTCTTTATCTCTAGGCATCAGTGTATAAAATTTGAACCAAATCAGTCTATTGGTATTTGATCATCAAAGATTATGGGTTTCTTCAAAAGATGGCTTCCATTTTGAAATAAGCGGCCTTCTTGAAAATGTCCCTTTAGCAGAGCTCCTTTCTCTCTTGGCATCAGCATATTGTATTCCAACCAAATCCGCCATTCGAGCTATCAAAGATTACCTTCTTCTACGAAAAATGGTGGCCATTTTTGTAATTCATCTGCCATCTTGAAAATTTCTTATCGAGCAAAGCTCTAGTGTCCCTCGACATCAACATATAAAATTTGAACAAAGTATGTCTTCTGGTATTTGAGCTATCAAAGAATACGTTTTTACGAAAAATGGTGGCCATTTTGAAATTCAGCAGCCATCTTGAAAGTGATTTCTTGAGCAAAGCTACTTGGCTTTGTCCCTAGGCATCAGCATATAAAATTTGAACGAAATCCGTATCCTGGTATTTGAGTAATTTAAGATTACATTATTTACGAAAAATGGCGGCCATTCCTAAAATGAGCTGCCATCTTAAAATTTCCTTAAGGAGCAGAGCTCCTGTGTTTCTAGGCATCAGCATATAGAATTTTAACAAAACCTGTCAACTGGTATTTGAGTTATCAAATATTACGTTTTTTACGAAATATGGTGGCCATTTTACAATTCAGCATCTTAAAAAGGTAAGCTCCTTTGTCCCCAGGCATCAGCACATAAGATTTGAACGAAGTCCGTCTACTGGTATTTGAGTTATCAAAGACAACGTTCTTTACGAAAAATGACGGTCATTTTTAAATTTAACGGCCATATTGAAAATCTCTTCTTGAACAAAGCTCCTTTTGTCCCTAGGCATTAGCAAATAATATTTGAAGCAAATCCGTCAACTCGTATTTGACTTATCAAAGATTACAATTGAAAATTCCTTCTCGGGCAGAGGTTCTACCCCATAAGGCATAAGCCTATAACATTTGAATCAAATTAGTCAACTGGTATTTGAGTTATTTCCCAGACAAACAGACGGACGGACGGACTGACGACTTTTCTATATCCCCCTCGAACTTTGTTCCTTGGGATAAATATGGTGCCACTCCATTAGACGTTTCAGGTGGCTAGCTCAACTAAATGCACATTCACTAGCGTTACAAGATGTGTCGTCAATTCCTTTTGAGGCACACCTGGATTATACACAAAAATGACACCCACCTTTTGTATAGTAAAATAATTTTTGAAATAAGTTATTATGATTTCATAATTTTTTGTTTAATTAAACGGACTTCCTTATCCTGAAAGTACAAGCAAAAATTATTAGTATTTACAACGTTGCTACAAAGTGTAGCCGGTATTTTTGTGTAAAATCCAGGTGTGCCTGCAAAGGAATGGACGACATTTAGATCAAATCTTGTAAAGCTCATTTAAGTGCATCCAGTTGGGCTAGCCATATGAAACTTCTTGTAGAGCTATTTATCCCCGGAGCTTAGTTTTAATATGCTAAAAAACAATTTAGATTTCATGCAGACAAAAAAAAACTTAATAGTCAACATTATATGGGTGGCACTTTTTGTGTCACCTTGGACTTAAACTCCACAAAGTCCCTTCATAAGTTCTCCAACCTGAATATAGAAATGAATGCATAAATCCCTATACCAAACGTCCCTCGACTATTTTTATTTATTCATAAGAATACATAAATAGTAAAACACATCAGTAGCGTATCAGTAGACACATCATAAGTATTCAATAATACTGCGTGTACTTGTGGGAAAATATTTGAAGGGGGGATGGCACTATTTGAAGTTTGATTAGAGTATGGAGGAAAGCGGAGCAGAGGGATAATCTAATCTCAATGGCGATATCACAACATGTAAAGACACTACTACAACACTGAAAAAACGAGAAACCATACAAAAGCAATGCTGATTTATATAGTATTTTAAGCAATTAAGAAAAATAAGCAATCTGATGTTGAACATATTAACAATTACTAAAGACATTTACTCGAAGGAAATGGTCAATGTGTAAAACACTGACAGATTCAAAGTTTAAAAGTGTACCAATCATTTTTTGCCTATTTCAAACAGAAACACAATACCGTTGGAATGTCAGTCATGCGACTATCTGTCTCCGGATTGTGAAGGGCCTGTCCAGTAAAACTGAATATGTATTGAAATCGGCGAGAGTGTGTATATTGTACAAAGAATACTCCTTCATGGTCAATTGCCTACTATAGAATTCTAGACACTATAATAAAGGAGTTAGTAACAGATTGCAATGGTTGTTTTTAAAATGATTTGTAAATGGTTCTCATATTATCAGGTAGAGTCAAATTTCATATCCTTTGTGATTCAAACCAATAATGTTTTGTTAGTTATTTCCGTCACCACGTTGAATTAGAACTCCACTAAATGACGAGTCCAACGAGTTGAAACTGATATAGTCCGATGTGGATGAATTCTCTACATAGACTGTATCTCCCTCCTTCATCGGCACATTCAAGCTAGCACTCCCCCTCTATGAAAACAAAGGGAACATAAATATAAATACACGCATTTAGAAGTGACTACTTTATTCAATATATTTATTTGTAGATTATAATTTCCCACAAAAGTTAGAGAATATAATCTAGCTTTGAAAATGCTCTCGTTGTGAAATATATTTTTTAAATGAAGCCGTCATTCATACATTTAGTCCCTGGCTTTTGTTACATTGACGTGTGTCTACGTCAAAGTAACGTAGGTAATGTGATGCGTTTTCGTCAATGCAACAAAAGCCAGGGACTAAATACACGAAGTGCAACTTCTTTTACAAACAAAACTACAAATCGAAGGTCAAATCTTTAAAGCTAGACTATATTCTTAACTTTTTTTCCAAATTGCAATCTGCAACTTGGATTTTAAGTAAGTTTAAATCGGGAAAACAAAAAACTCGTATTCGTGAATTATATCCATTTTGTTACATTGACGTTCCGTAAAAGTAAGTAGTTTTGGTTACGTAATAGCGTCAGTGGATCAAAGCCCGGGGATGTATACTTCATCGTGCATTTATGAACGTTTTTGGAACTCTATTGAGAATCTAGTGTTAAGTTTGCAGTATAAAAGAAAATGAATTTTTCTCGACTGCATGTTAACTGGTTCCGATTGCCATGCATGTCACTTCAACTCAGCATGTCATTCTCAATTCAGAAAATATTCCTCAGATGAGGAAAAATAGTGAACACAATTAAAAGAAATATATGCAAAAAGTAGCTTGATTGGCTCATGAGTAGAGTTTGATAAAAAATGTATCTCTGAGACTGCTTTTTAGATGCATCATGCCATAGGTTTCTCCCCAAGACAATCAATGATGTCCTATTTTTATTGCTCATATAATATCTCACATACCATGGATATACCTTGAGAATAACGTTTGGGTATATTATTGCGAAATATCGGAAATAATCAACAGAACAACCAAACTCCAGAATTAAACACAATCGATTCCTCGGCTATCGAGAGGAATCCCCATTGAGCTACACAAGCGCCCACAAGCGCCCACAAGCGCTTTGAACCAGGCAGCCAATCAGGTTTATGATACACAAATTCAACGACCAATCAGATAACAGGAGGACTTTCCCGGAATATTCAAACTTCAGATTGAATTAATTTCTTCGAAAATAATTAGATCGGTCAGCACAATAGCAAAATCAACACTGACAGAGGGGGATTTGGGACTTCTTTGGTAAGTAGATGCGTATGTATATGTGGTGAAACTCAATATGCAAAAAAGTCCAGAGGGGTCTTGATTGTGCTATCCTATGGCATAGAGCCTCTTTAACTTGAACCGGAGTCATCGTTAGACACAACTACTGTAAATTGATACACACTCTATTTCCAAATGAATCAACTTACTCCAGCGTAATTGTATTGAATATCACGACTGTTACAGTACATGCAGCCAAGGGAAACGTGCATGTTGGTACTTATTGACTTCCATCGTGCGCCATTCACCCGTATGTGACTGCTTAATGGTTGGTTACTGTATTTTTGAAGATGGACATCAAAATGATATATTCCTTGGAAAGGTGCAGTGAATATACCTAAAATGACACAACATGTACATGTAGGACGACGAAGAAATCAATCGATATCTTGCTTTAAAATACATTTCTTTGTCAAGCCACTCCTAATGTACATGTTAATTTAAACAGGCAATTCGCATATTTTTTGAAGGAAAGGGGACAAAATATTATTTGAGACATGTTACTCACACACTCAATCAAATATGATAAAAGTTTTAATTTGGATTAATCACCCTTGGTATACGCAGCTAACGAAAATTGACCGGTACGGGTCAAAAGCTGGACCGGTACGGGTTAACGGTTTTATTTGAATTTAAAACAGCCATAACTTGCTCAATATTGACTTCCTCGTGTCTAATTTGAAATATATGATGCCTCCCGGTGCTTTCAAGTACCCCAATTTTTTACAGATTTTTAAACGGACCAAAACTCTCTAAATGCGCATTTATGCTCTTTTCTCTCGAGAACGACTGTCTCATTTTCAGGATTACTTTTATTTAGTACTTCTAACATATAAGATCTATTTTTCCCCATCAAGGTATGATGTAAATGACATGCTATTTACATCTTGTGAGTTTGAATGACGCGCGTTTGATTTTATAAAAAATGCCAAACTTTGTGACAAAGAATTTCATCCTGCTTGCAGCGAGAAGACGGACCGGTTCGGGGCAATCTGCTTGTAGCGACAAGACGGACCGGTTCGGGGCAATAGCTGATGAAATTCTTTGTCACAAAGTTTGGCATTTTTTATAAAATCAAACGCGCGTCATTGAAACTCACAAGATGTAAAGTTTATCAGGCCACTGAAGGGCATCCCTGCCAAAATTAATACGCCACATGGCTCATAACTTTCCTTCAGAGAGACCAAATGAACACATTTTTAGAAGAGATGGCTTGTTACCATTGCAAAAAGATGACAACAGCACCTACATACGAGCTTACTGACTCATAATGATTGCCATTGTGTCGGGACTACATTCAATTTTTTCAGCGGAACTGATAGGGCATTTGACCATGGTTCGTTGCGAAATCTCTCTAATGGCCCAAATGCCCTAATACGTCACTTCCGCTGAATAGAAAAAGTAGTTATCAAAAATTAATGTAGTCCCAACACAATTGTGATCATGAGGAGTCAGTAAGCCAGTAGGCACGGTTGTCATCTTTTTGACAACATGCCATTTCTTCTGAAAATGCGTTTATATGGGTTATCTGAAGGAAAATTTCGAGTCAAGTGGCGTATTAATTTTGCCTTCATTTTTGTGAATTTCAATTTCTGTCGGCAGAGAGAGGGGGTAGTGTCACAATCGACCAATTATTTCAAAAAGTAGATGTTTGGCCCCTATTGAGTTTAGTGTCAAAATGTAGCTTAGACATAGCTTTAGAACGTCAGATACGCCAGTGAGGCCATCTAAATCCGTAACTCGAGATAAAAAGTCAGGCGTTTGCGCTTTTGCCCATTGACTAGTATGGTGACGTGAATTAAAGGCTGTTTTGCCAATGGCTCCTTATGAACAGATAGAGCTGCGCGAAAAATGATGACATAGAACACAAACTTAAGAACTTATTTACATAAGGGATTTATAAACACTCTTTTATTGAGCTACGAAATCTCTACTATTGACGAAGACTTAATCATAAATAATTGGCCATTCTTTCAGCGATGTTTCTCAAACATTATGTTAAATGGTTGGTGGGTACTAACCCGTTGTTCTAGAATATGCGCCTCCAACGTTAAAATCGTCCACAAACTTCACTGCACCTGCCGCATTCCAAGAGGAGGCTCCTGACCCACGTGCATCAAAGGCAACCATACCCGCTTGGGAACATAAATACATTAAAGTAGCGTGGCTTATTTTAAGGGAACATAAATTCGACTTATTTTGATACAGTTGTTTGGTGTGGTGAGATTTGGTCATACTATTACAATAAAGAAGTTAAGACAATTGCTCTACGGCGGGCGTAAGTTCAAATTAATATAAAGAATCTACATTGTACTGCTCATCCCCATATATTGTGCTATGTATTTCCCTCGATTTAGGGAACCTATGGCCGTCGCACGGTTGCTGAAGATGAATTTGACCGAGGCATTACACTTACGTTTGCATGTCAACATTTGTCCCGTCCACGTTCCGTTCGCACTACATGTACGTGTTCTGTCACCACTTTCGTACTTGTAGGCACTTTTGCACGTGAATGTCACATTATCACCATAACGTGTACCATTTAATGCTCGATTGGTGTCTGTGGAGTTACCAGGATCCCCACAGTCTATCCCTATAGCGAAAGTAATTTGCATTTGGCTAGTTTATCCAGATGTCTTTAAAAGGCTAATATTTTATTGAGACAATTCAAGGGTCTGCCACGTTAGTAATAAATGTATATCGTCGTTCACACTCACGCCATTAATCTATTTTTCATTTTTAACTTAAATTAGATTGAATAGTCATACTTTGGCAAGACACATTTCTGCTTCCCCATGTACCATTGGCTCCACAAGAAACAGTAACGATCTTGGAACCATCACTGACGTAGCCATTCGAACAAGTATACGTCACTACATCTCCAGCAATGTGTCCAAATTCACTGGCGTCATTCACAGAGTTATCATATATTGGAGCAGCTGGGCAACCCATACCTGCAGTAAATCAGAACAGACTGTCTTTTAACTTCAAATATATTTCAATGTATCAATAATGATCATATATACCTATTGCCTATTACTAATATAGCTTTACAAAAGTTTTGCTCCTTCATCCAGTTCATTATTAGTAAGATTGATGTTTATTCTTACATTACCTCTATCCATGCACATCAATGGACCAATGGTGTAGTTCCCTTTAGATGATCCATATCGAAAACGTCCAAACGCAACTTCCATAACGGGCAGCTCTGGTGCCGAAGTGGAGGATGTTTCCGACACAATGTAACCTTCATCCACATGCCATTGGCTGTCAAAGTTGTTTCCGTTATTACAATTACAAAGTTGTCCTATAATTGATAAATATCACTGTTCATATGAGGATATATTGACGGTCATAAGTTTAGATGCAAAAATCGATGGAATGGAGTTTGAAGTTTTCGTTTTTGAGTGCAATTTTGAGAAAAAACATTTGATTATAGTAATCAACATACCATGTTACTAACAATAGATTATTAAACGTTACTGTTTCAGTAATACTAAACAACATTGGTATGTAGCCTGTTACAATTTAAACCTTAGTCATGATCATACTCGCTCTACGGCGGCTGCGGTCAGGGTAGATCGAATGTGACCGGGGCATTTTCACGCTAACGGCAGCAAGTCTTTGATATTTGTTCTCAGTATGTAACATAATACGCACACATTCACTTTTCAAATCCATTTCTTTTTTATTTAGGGGACCCATCCATTAGGCTTAACATAGGGTATTCTCTGTACACCATGAATGTTTGACTTATTGGAGTCAGTCCATTCCATTCCTAAAACTTACCATTTGTACATTGTCTATTAAGGAGACATTCACAGTGAGTCTCCGTATAGTTTCCGACAGGATAGCCACCCCAGTATGATCGTGTCCTATCATCGGGGGTCGTCCAGCGGGTGTAGTCCATTCCACTATTATAGCAATCGTATCTGGAAAGTATTCATTTCGTAATGACAGCAGTACAGTCATGATTTGGTCGTGTGTTATACCCTCAATGAATTCTTTATATGAGTCAGGCAGGGACTGCAGTATTATTTATCATTCATGTGAAATTGACTGAATCAAACTAGAACACCGTGTAGAACAACTTTTATTGAGAGAACGTTTGTCATAATATTGATGATTAAAAAAATGCTTGACGAGATTATATACATGTATAATATTTTACCTGACATGTTGCTGACACGATCTTGATGCCGAAATCAGTTCAAGCAATCGGTCCTTAGATCCTGAAAAATAAGAGAAACGACCACTTCGGACACATGCTTCTCGATCACATATCGGCCCTACGATAGCTTTCGTATCCATATGATCATGTTCAAGGACCATTGTCGCAGGCGTAGTTGACATGTCACAGAAAACGACAATTGGACCTCCCTCACGATTAGGGTTTATCAGGAGATAACCCGCCTCGTGGCCTTCCGCCTGCCACACCGAACATGTTTTACCTACAACATTAGGGTTTCAATCATATAGTATAGTGCATGTTAAAAAGGGTAAGTAAATGCCTTAGCCTATGAAACACAAAGTGTGCAGAAAACTGACAATCAATAAAAATGTAAAATAAAAAATTAGAAAAACGATCAACTGATCCAGATAAATGTGAATTTGCTTTATATTGAAATAACACGCAATGCTCAGTCAAAGCATATACATTTACTCACGAATTTGGGACACTGCAGAAATAGATTCCTTCATAGTCCTGTAAATCTCAGAAACGTCTACACTGGCTTTGACATCTTTGCTAAAATATTAATAAATAGCATCCATATACCCAATTTGTATCAAATAAGAAAGCTTAATTCATGAGATCATAATTGCTTAAACATGCTTGCGTTTTTAAAAATAAATACCTTTCATTTTCGATCGATGTAGCAGCGCTGGAAAGAAACGAGAAAAAACAAACAATCAAAACGAATGGCGTTAATGCGGCCATATCTAAAAACCAGGGCGTCCTCCCTGTCATACGCGTTATATATACCGCCGTTTCCTCTCAGAATGTTTATCATGTAAATACCAGTTTTAACATGTAACGTTGAGAGCGTCCCAGCAACCAGAACGTTTTCATTTTGTCAACATTATATGAAGAGTATTTGAGAACATTCGATCACACTTTCATTAATACATTACAAACAACAATTTTTGTGAAGTACCCTGTTATTTAAACGACCAATATGTCTTTTATCTTCATTAGCGTCAATTATCTTGTTCTGATAACATTTGGGACCCCTGTCTCCTCACTCTTGCTAGGGAAAATATGTTTCTCTTACAGCTTTTTCTTTTACTAAAACGCGTGGTAAATATAATGTAATAAGGAGACTTTCAATCTCATTGGGTACGCTCTTTCGTGAATCGCTATTCATTATCTTTGCCATTGTCACCGGTCCCCACTTGGTTATAAAGACGTTACGTTCAGCAGCTAGGACGTTAATAGGCCATAACATGATGTAACGAAAACTTTATGAAATTCATCAGCTATCTTCCTAGTTACTTTACCCCCCTATCACACCAAACTCGTTCTTACCCGTTCTTGCCAGTCCTACGAAAACGTCGTAAAACGGGCTCAATCTGGATATGGTCGGGAAATATGTCTGAAATAATTAGCTTCTTCGTTTTTAAACAGTCTTCAATACGTCCATCTCGTTCGCAGTTCGTTCAGGTCGCACCACGTCGGTGTGCAACGCCGTAGAACGCGTCCCTTAGTCTAGAAGGTCATCATGACCTGATAACAGAACGGCATGGTCGCAATCGAATTTTGAATCGATTCAAAATTCTAAAATCACATTCCCGTCTGAGAACGTTCATAAAGTTCGTAAATAGACCTTAGAAAGTTGCAGCTACGTTCATTCCGTTCGCACACAGTTTAGAACCAGTTTTGAAGAACGCAGTGGCAACTTGTTTGGTGTGATAGCTATATTTTTGCTAACTCGTTCATAAGCAGTGTTAAATACGTTCTTAATCAGTTTAAACCGTTTGCAATGAGTTCTACCTCAGCTCGTCGTTAGTACGTTGTCACTCGTTCTAATTGTAGAACGTGACGACCACGAGAACATTTTGAGCATTGTCTAAGTTCTAGAGGACCTACCCGTTCGAGTACGTTCGATGAAGTTTGTAAATAGATCCCAAACGGTTCTAAGTACGTCCAGTCCGTTTGTACACAGTTGAAGCACGTTTTCGAGAACGTAGTGAGAACTAGTTTGGTGTGATAGTAGGGTTAGTGAGGAATTTTCACTCGATTATATTTGCTCGTGACTGCCTAGATTTTCAGTAACCAGATGTTACTATTAAGAGGATACAAATCGACCTCCTTCTTTGTGAAAATGATGAAAGATGTAACGTCTTTATAATCAGGTGGGGACCAGTGATTGTTTACCCCCCTATCACACCAAACTAGTTCTTACCCGTTCTTGTCAGTCCTACGAAAACGTCGTCAAACGGGCTCAATCTGGCTGTGGTCGGGAAATATGTCTGAAATAATTAGCTTCTTCGTTCTTAAACAGTCGTCAATACGTCCATCTCGTTCGCAGTCCGTTTAGGTCGCACCACGTCGGAGTGCAACGTCGTAGAACGCGTCTCTTAGTCTAGAAGGTCAACATGACCTGATTACACAACGGTATGGTCGTCATCGAATTTTGAATCGATTCAAAATTCTAAAATCACATTCCCGTCTGAGAACGTTCATAAAGTTCGTAAATAGACCTTAGAAAGTTGCAGCTACGTTCATTCCGCTCGCACACAGTTTAAAAACAGTTTTGAAGAACGCAGTGGCAACTTGTTTGGTGTGATAGCTATATTTTTGCTAACTCGTTCATAAGCAGTGTTAAATACGTTCTTAATCAGTTTAAACCCGTTTGCAATTAGTTCTACCTCGTTCTCAAAACGTCTGCAGACAGTTCAACTCGTTGTTAAGACGTCCCTAGTAGGATTGAAGTACGACGGTTCCGTTCGCAGTACGTCCAGCTCGTCGTTAGTACGTTGTCACTCGTTCTAATTGTAGAACGTGACGACCACGAGAATATTTTGAGCATTGTCTAAGTTCTAGAGGACCTACCCGTTCGAGTACGTTCGATGAAGTTTGTAAATAGATCCCAAACGGTTCTTAGTAGGTCCAGTCCGTTCGTATACAGTTGAAGCCCGTTTTCGAGAACGCAGTGAGAACTAGTTTGGTGTGATAGTAGGGTTACAAGGTGTTTACATAAAGCAAACATTTCTAATCATCATAACATAAGAAGACAGACGCTGGGAATGTTTTTTATTATTTTTAGTTGACTTCAAAATGTTACCAACCCCGAATTAGCCGCCTTGTGGTGAAAATAATAAATACAGGGTGGTCCGGTCAAAAAAATGGAAACCTTGCATTTTCCTTATATCTTTGTCACTTTAGGGAATAACTCCCTGATATTTTACACATCTGTACAGCATTCAATTTCCTACCACCCTACCATATTTCATGACTATCAGACTGATAGTCACAATTTAACAGCACTTTGATTAACATACTTCAGATTTGGCCATTATCGCAATGTAGGCAAAACAGCACAGTTGTCAATGACCCGAATGCATTCCTCAGCAGGTATGGCCTGAATGACACAAATGATCTCACTTTTGAGGTTTGCAATTGTCCCGAGGTCATTCTCATATACTCTATCTCTGCCATATCCCCACAGGTAGGGACATTTTAGACGATGAGTACAGGTTTCCCCACATCGCAATATTGGCCACTGGCCATGTTCTTTAAAGTACTGTTTCATTGTGACTATCAATCTGATGGTCATGAAATAAAGTAGACTGGTAGCAAATTGAATGATGTACAAAAGTCTAAAATATCAGGGAGTTATTTCTTTAAATGACAAAGATATGAGGAAAATGGTATTAGGGTTTCCATTTTTTGACCACCCTGTACCTTCTTGCATCTGGGTAATTAACCTCCAAAATTAATCAATTGTGCTCTTAATTGTCCATCAGTAAATATACCCATTTAACGTTGTAAAGTTTCTACTCCTGAAACATTTATCCATATATTGTTTAAGGATTTAAACCCTGGACTAAGTGCATTGTAGTCTGAATCATTCCATTGAAGGTATTGTTTCCAAATGTTTGCATGCATGAGTGCACAGTGGGAATGCAAATTCAGGAAACAACGCCTGAGTGGAATGAAGAGTTAATTTCTGGCGTGTTAACCAATATTATAGCTTGGCTTTTCACATCAAGATAAAGAAAGATGTAAGGAATATGTTTACATCGATTAAAACATCACGACGACGCGTTATCAGCGAAAACTAACTGGTGAGAATTTGCGCAAACGAAGGTGGTACACAAGAGACGTACGTAATATGTCAGTCATCGCGAAAGCTCTGGGGGTTCCCTTCTTTATGAAACTGAAAAACTGAAACGAAAAAACGAAACTGAAACGAAATCAAGGTGTATAAATTTACATCCTGGTTACCTTAATAGAGTTTATTTTTAAAGAAAATAGGCAAACAAATCCCGTTCATATGAACCACTTCTCAGAAGTGTAAATTCATATCGACCAATTATTCTTGTATTACGAGGCACACGCAGCGTTATTTCAGTTAGGTTGGCCTATGCAATGCGCGTCTCAGTTATTGCCGGATTCTTTTTGATATATTTATCTATCCAAGATGCCGACGGGTAAGATATAAGCAGATTTGTATGGAAATAGATAAGGCGATCATTAAAGCATATACAGATATACTATACTTTGCATATTTCAATTTTACAAATCTTCACGTTAATCTATAGTCAAAAAGGCATACATTGTGTTAATCTGAATTCGCTTTGATAATCTAAATTGCAGTTCCTGGTGCACGAGTCAAAGGCAACGAGTGGAAACTTACTCGGAACTAGTATCCAGTTCACGTCCTACTAAATACTACACAGGATGTGGGCTTTTCAGCTTGTGGAGGTGTACTCGATTACGGTAAGTTCACTGTTGTTCTTATTTACACGAACTTAACTGGACAATCAGACAATAAATCAAATAAGGGAAAATATCACTATATGTGTGGCCCATAAGTACAAATCAAATAAAAGTAAAATAGCAAATGAAAGATCGAATATTTTTTCGCCTATTTAAGTCAAATAGAAATCTATGTACTGTTTTAAAATGGTTTTATAAGTGAAGGGGCAAGACCACACCTGGAACCACACCGTCATTGCATAGCTTTCGGGCACCATTCCTTAGGGTGGTCATTCTGTTTATTAAATAGTACTTTAAATGTAGAAAGAAGAAATGGTGAGCAAGCATCATGCTGTATAATTACTATACCTTCGTAATTCGCATTTATGTAGTTTATGTACTATTATTGTAGATATATCACAATTTACTCTACTCAACAAAGAGCAAGAACAGTTACATATTCAGTCCGAGCCTGCTGTGCCGGATATAAGGGATCAAACTGCGAAATTCGTAAGAACAATACTTATGAGGGCATTGGCAATTGTGTTGCTAAAATTGTACAGAAAATATGAAGGCAGACATCTTTTGAATTTAAACCATGAACATTAAGGCTTGTGATAGTATTATTGGTTTTAAGAAAACTGTTGTCTACCTTATTGGACGTAGTTTTGTTTCACGACCCTGGCCCTTCCGTCTTGTTTACATTATGCAAAGTATTGGAGAAGTAGATACGAGGGAGGGGCACAGTCTTGAAGCAAGATTAATTTATTTGGACGGTTGTGTACATGTATTTAGATTTAGTCCTCAGCCTTCAGACTTCAAAGTATATATTATTGACTGTAAATGAAAATACATTATTTCACTGATAAACTGTAAATCATTGCTTGTATTTACATATAGCGATATGCAATTGCTTCAATGGAGGAACGTGTATAAGGCCAAACCACTGCACATGCGTCACTGGATACGCATCCCCCTCCTGTACAGGTATGTCCTCTTTATTGATGTACAAATATTTGACTAGTATTGTAGATGCATCCTCCGAACGCAGGGTTCCAGCCATCATCCACTGAGATCCTTCCTTCTGGAAGAAGGAGGTACGAGTTCTCGAGGCCTGTGTTCGGAGGACGTGTAGATGAGAAGCAAGGGCAAGGCGTAAGAGCGTGACTAAACTTCTCAGGGGTCCACCCGACTGAACGATCGGATGATATTATGGCACACGTTCCCTTAATGTCTTCACTAATTTCGAGTCTGACTTTGATATCAAACTATTTCAGTGTCAGTACGTACATATTTACTCTTTACATAAAAATGACGGGTCATTGGCTTGTTTCAAAAATAGAAATAATATACCACCAGTTATTAGTTTATGGGGAATCCCCTTTAGGAACTTTTATTCGTTTCAAAATTGTAATTTCAATTTTTTTATGACGAAGCTGCGTGAGAAATGTTCAATACAGGGCGTTTAATAAATATTGCTCGTGTTACTATTGCTTTTGTTCTCTTTTGCTACATTCATTTCAATAGACTGTTTAACTTTTGTGTTAAACTTGTGTTAGGGCCAATTATATCGCGAATTCGTATTAGCCCATTAAAACGTAGAACTCTGAAACTAAAACTACTAAAATAATTCAAAACCCATTTGATTGGTAAGACCACTAAATTAGTATAATACGTCATGTTATGTTTGCTCCCATATCATATCATATATTACTAGTACAGTGTACAATGCATGTTATACTTTTAAAGTATAATGCATATTATTCTAAATTAGCATAATGCATTTTAAGTTTGCTCCCATATCATGTCATATTATACTAAAATAATACAATGCATGTTATATACTAAATTAGTATAATGCATACTATACTAAATTAGTATTATGCATGTTAAGTTTGCTCCAATATCATATCATATTATACTTAATTAGTATTATGCATGTTAAGTTTGCTCCTGTATCATATCATATTATACTAAATTAGAACAATGTTTGTTATGTTTGCTCCCATATCATATCATAGTATACTAAATTAGAATAATGCATGTTATGTTTGCTCCCATATCATATCATATCATATAATATCATATCATATTTGTTACCAGATATCGACGAGTGTTCAATAAGAAATGGTGGATGTGATCACACCTGCGCAAATACGGCTGGTAGCTATGCATGTTCTTGTAGATCAGGCTATAGACTTCATGGAAAAACATGTGTAGGTAAGACATCGAGTTTATCTGTATCATTGATTTATTCAAACTGTTTTCATGATTAGTTGCATTGAAATACACCTATATTTAGTTGTACGAAGTGTTTATCGCACTATCTAATCTAGACTTTCAGTTTGCAAAACTGTTATTTGTTAAATAAGGTACTACGCTTGATCATCATTTAACTTTAATTAAAGCGTTTTTCATTGTGTTCCAGATATCAATGAGTGCAACAATGGAAATGGGGGATGTGCGCAAATATGTAGTAATACAATTGGAACTTACACATGCTCTTGTAATAATGGGTATTATCTATCTTCCACCAACCGACGTAGCTGCATAGGTAAACACATATCATAAATCAATGTTCCAAACAACATCGTATGCATTTGTGGATCAAAATGGGTTAAAAAGGTCTTGTTGCTTGATGCTCACCAATGCCGTGGTGACATCTGCCTCATGGCGTTTCAACACAGGCGCCCGGCCGATGAGTATTTGTACTCAACGTCCGGATACGGTACTGAAAATCAGACCACGGCATTATTTGAATTGATTGAAATAAAAAATGTATTTCGATTTTTTTTTACGAAATAAGAATAATTCTTGCAGATGTTGACGAGTGTAGTTTAGGGACATCTCGATGTGACCAGGGATGCGTTAATACACTCGGATCCTACAGATGTACCTGTCATGCGGGTTATGCTCTTCATTCAAACGGGTATACATGCAACGGTAAAAGTATATTTAACTATTTCCTATGTTATGTGTTACCAAAACTTTTTGCGATAGGTGCATAACCTTTCGTCAATGAATCGTTTTCGATAAATATTTTTTCATTTTATAAGTATATAGACTATTGACAATAGAGAGGTTAGCAAGCATTTGAGAGAAATGTGTAAGGTTTTGAACAACTTCAATACCTGTTCAGTTCCGGGGGTCTATATTGAAAGGGAATAAAAGAATAACACGATGGTGTCTACAAACATTGTTAGTCATACTCATGTTTCTAGATTACCATGCTTGCATTTTTGGTTTCGATGTACAGTAGAACATGTTCTAGAGAAGGTTACGTATGGCATGCATGTTTTAGCTCTAAATATCTAATTAAACGGGCTTGTTGAAAATAATCAACAAAAAACAGGTTTACTAATATAGTTCAAATCCATATTTCTGAATGAATCTCGCTACGTGCGGAACATGCAGATCGTAAACGAGCTTGTTGAAATTTAAGAAAAAAAATCAGCATTTGGTGTATCAATATGGGAGCCTGGCCATCACAAAAATTAAAATTGTGTTACAGAGCCAAATACGTGACATACATTAAGAGGAAAATGTGCTAAATTCAAATCCGACTTGTTGGAAAAATTGTTAAGACAAAAGCCATGGCTCATTTGAAAGGTCTCAAAGTCCATATCCATATTTTTGAATTAATTTCGTACATACAGAACCTATAGATTGGTAATCGAAAAAAACATATAAGACATATGTGAGTATTTAGTGAACGAAATACTACGTACCCGTGACAATTGTGTTAACAATCTCATTCTATACATTATATTATATTATTATTTATTTTGTTCATTTATTCATATTGAGTTCATTATTTGTCATCGTTATTCTAAATATTTTAGACATCAATGAATGTTCACAACTCAACGGTGGATGTAGCCAGTTGTGTATAAACACACAAGGTTCATTTCGTTGTGACTGCAACCCAGGATATGACCTAAATGACCAGACTTGTGAAGGTACGCAACTCTTTAGAATATATTCCGGACGTAAATTAATATTCGACGCTAAATGTTGCCTTTTGAGAGAACCACTGGTGAGAGAGTTGATGTCAACTGCAAAATAAAATTACTTTAAATGGGAATTGTTCAATGTATAAATTTTTTATTGTATCATAACATGATTACATTAGTCATAACTATGAGAAACTAAATATCTAAACTTTAAATACTAACTAAACCAAAAGTTCGAAAATATATATAAAGAAATAAAAATAAAATCTCTATGTAGTATGCATCACGATTAAAGGACACGGTTACATTTAAAGTGTGGTGCTCATATACTGCATTCTGACTACAAATTCTTAGATGAAAATTTCCAGTCCTTATTGTTCATTCCAGATATTGACGAATGTTCCGTGTCAGACCAAGGGTGCCAGCATCAATGTGAAAACACTGATGGCTCATATCGCTGCTTCTGCAATACTGGTTACATCTTAGATTCCAATGAGAAAAATTGCAAAGGTATGAGGAAAAGCACGAAGTACAAAATTTGAATTTTCACTGCAATCTGATTAATAATCTAATTACAGTGAAAGCCCCAGATGAACTTTAATATGCACAATTAGGAGGATTCGGAACCAGTAATTAACGTTTCATTGAGATCGCCTACTCGGAAATATCCCAAAAGTATGTGCGTAAAAGTATTATTTCTATTGTGTTGACTTGTTTGGGCATAACGTCAGATTAAGCCTTTTGAGAATTTATACGAAGACCCAAGGCTGTGGCCATAACTATATAATATGAAACTAATTGTAGAACATGCAACATTGACAATATTATTCATTTAGATATTCATTTCAGACGAAGATGAATGTTCTAAAGATATATGTGACCAGCATTGCTCTAATACACATGGATCATATGTGTGTTCATGTAACACAGGCTATGTACTCAGCAGCAACGGCAGAACTTGTTCAGGTAGTGTGTTTCTTTCTAAATATGTTAATCGAGTGAGAATTCCTCCGATGGAAGGTCATCCATTTCGTATATAAAGAAGAAACGGGTGGGGACCGGTGCAAGTGGCACGAGGATATTTGTAAAAAATAGTATATACAAATACGTACAGAGGAGGGACTATCTAGAGTACAACCGGTCACAAGGAAACAAATCCCTCTAAGCATCTCGCCCAATGATAGGAGTTTACAGATAAACACAACTTAACGATTTTATAGACTTACTTCTTCATGAAACTAAATGTTTTGAGCGAATTGATAAGCTTCGTTTTTAGACAAACAGATATTTTGAGTAATGTTTTAAAAATTCAAAGGTAGCAGTATAAGGCCTAGTTTGTCCTCCATTAAATGGTACCTAGATCATTTTGTCACTGTCATGGATGACTGAGCATTATGACTCTTATAAAAAGGTGGTAAAATCAGCACTATGCAGAATAAGCATTCAACTAGGATTGAGACAATGAATGTTTTTTTTGTGTTAAAAAAAATATTTAACCCCTTTTGCAAAACTTTCGCAACAGCATTTTGTACAGCAATGAGACTTCTACATGATATACAGCTTTAAAGTCAATCGTATTCCCCATCTTAGTCAATACACCCTTGCTGAAATCCTCATTTTCTCAGAAGAACTCAAGTTGATTGAGTCTCAACAAGTAGATTCTTTTGGGATAATATTGCTAGAATCTATTTTCAATAGTAAGAATAGGGGTTCTTAACGAGTCCACAGGCATTGCTCTTTAAAACCTTTTGTTTTCTCTTCTGCTCAGGTGTCAGTTGAACCATGTTTGTAGGCCTATTTTAGAGTTAATTGAGCTTTTTGCCAAAACTTGTTTTCATAAGATAGTTACCGAGTTTCCAGTCTATTGCATTATGAAAGTCCTGTCCTCTAACACAATGTAACATAAAAAGTATACTAAGCCAATTACACATAGATTCCCACACAGGAAGATAACTTGGCACAGCACTAATTTTTACAATTTTACGTATACCACCTATCATAATGGTCATGATTGCTCAGTCCTACATGACAGTTACATAATGATCTAGATACCATTTAATGGAGGATAAATAAGGCATTTTGCTATTACCTTAATTGTATTTGACAAAAATGCTCGAGATTCTAGTAATTTGGTTTTGAAAGTTGGGTATACTATTTTTGTGGACGCCCTGTATAATCCTCCCCTCATGGCGTTTCCAACCATCCTCTTGCTGCCTAGTTACATCTGCTAATGAACTTTCCTGCATAATTGTAGATGTTGATGAATGTCAGGTCAACAATGGAGGATGCGATCCGGACTTAATGAAATGCATCAATTTAATTGGCTCATTTGGTTGTGATTGTCGTAAGGGGTACACATTGGATGATGAAACGAGTAAAACGTGTATCAGTAAGTGATCAAAGACACAGCTCTCTACCTTAATATATTTTTTTTCGATTTGAATAATGTTTCTCAAAATGTTAGAAAACGTATGTATGCATTGTTTATATTGTAAGAAAATTAAAAATCATTTTTTTATTAAGACATCGACGAGTGTGCCCAAGGATTTGATGGTTGTACGGGAGGCTGTTTGAACACACCTGGGGGTTTTAATTGTACGTGCGATCCTGGGTTTTCTCTAGAAAGCGATGGAAAAACGTGTGCAGGTAAAAAACAATTCATTTTAATCATAGATATGTAGTTTTATTATATTCTTTCCCTTTTTTACAAAATATGTTTGTATCTTAGTACTTCGAGTGCATTTGCTTAAAATCTTCGTTGCTACAGTTCACTTCGACTCTTTACTTCTATCGCCAACTTGATTAAAATAGTATAACCTAAATCGAAAGGATAGAATAAAAGGAATGGTTCCCAATAGCTCTTTAAAACTTAAACAACTACCTGAATCTCCCCATTATCTATGGGAACCATTTTTAGATATCAATGAGTGTGCCCAAGGAACTGATGGTTGTATGGAAGGCTGCTTGAATACACCAGGGACCTTTAGGTGTATCTGCAATCCTGGATTCCTTTTAGAAAAAGATTATAAATCATGCGCAGGTAAAATACTGCATCCGATGACTGAAGACGTTCAAATGATCCATTAAGAGTAATTTACAATACGATGCAATGTGACACACATGACAATGTGTTGTTACATAATAATTTGATGATAATTATCGATTGAGTGTTTTTTTAAAGTACATGTAATTTGTTAGATTTTAATAATCAGATATAGTTTGATAAAATTGTATAATGTGATCTGATAATCAGCTTATACACTTCTATCATCTCAAATCTTAATATACAACTAATGCAATACTGGTTGACATACCGGTTGATTATATTACTCATCATTTTTAGAGACGAATGAATGCCTTATAAATAATGGTGGATGTACACATACCTGCATTGATACCTATGGCAGTTTTGTATGTTCTTGCCCCGATGGTTTCCTTCTTGGTCCTGATAAATTGACATGTATTGATGAGTCAACAATTGTAGGTGAGGACTCACCTTACTGTTTTCCCGTTTGATGTTGAGCTACACAAACATATAATGTAATACCAATAAACAAAACGCTCAGAAGTTTACAGTAAAACTACAATAATTATAGTCCACACAGATTACCAATACTCCACATATGAACTGTATTATTTTCATTCAAAATTATTGGTACTATCACGACTATGAACATTACATTATTATTATATCATATAGTAACTTTGCCTGTTATTTCACGCAGATGCTTGTCATCCGAATCCTTGTAAACACGGTGGAATATGCTCCCTTGGTGATGACGACAGCTTTATTTGCGCATGCGCGGATTCTGGGTTTGGAGGAATATTGTGCAACAGGAGAATATTAATGGCTAATGTTGTTGATGACGCCTTCAACTCTGGACAGAAATCAGGGTCCATTCAGGTGCGAGCAAAACCAGAAAACAGCCTAACCATTACTCCAACGGCACCTGGGCTCTCGTTTCTACCCACATCGTTAGAACTTAGGAACGACGTAACAGTCGGGTATTTTGAGGTGAAAAGTATTTCATCAGGACCAAAGCCAATAAAGTTTATCCTTTCAGGTAGCGATGCAGATATATTTGATGTTGTTGATGAATTACAAGTGTTTGTAAAAGATGTATTCTCACGTTTACATCTTGCACGTAAGATTCTACCCGGCGGGTGTTTTCCACTACCCTTAACCACTTGCCCAACTGTGTTTAATGAAGAGATTGGACTTTCTTCTACGGCGGAATGGTATCAGCTTAACTCAAATTCAAATGTTAAATTCACGCTTGGAATAACATTTGTCGTCATCAATAACTTTCCGTTGCCAATTTCACTAAGAGGAGTTCAAGTTGAGACTGGCTCAAACTGGAAACTTTCTCTGGTGAGTTCATACAGGAAGGAAAGTGATGGAACACTTTTAAATACTCCTAAAACCCCCGGATGTGACATCTCGTTGACATTACAAGATATACAGGATTTCATTAAAGGAAATTCGTTCATCAACACATATTTCAATAGTTTGACGAATCTCCTTCCAAAGTGGTTAAGCATCCTTCCAACTGATAGAGCCATCCTTGATTCAACGAATCTGAAATCTGGTGTCATGACCGGCGATCAAATATCTCTCGTTAAGCCATGTGCTGGCGCCCCCGTATTCAAGAATAAATTATACTCGGTATTCCAATTTGAAACAACAACTAGATTGAGTGTATTTGACCACGAAGTGACAATTCCCGTACTACAGGGGGAGCAGTTTTGTTTAATCGTAGACTTATGCCAAGACCCTGGTGGAACATTTATTCTCATGTTCCCGACACCACTGTCTAGAAAGAAACGACAAATCTATTCCGGCTGTGATGTTCTTAGTAAGATACCTATGATAGGAAAAATGGAAAAGTCAACTGGAGTTGATATTTGTGTTAGAGGAATGGGCTTTTCACTGACAAAACAATTGGCAGTGACGTCTCGTTCTTTCAAAACTCCTACTGCAGTCAGTGTTTGGAACGGAGATCAGCAGTTTGATTACAGGTATGCTGAGTTTGTGAGAACAATCAGTTTCATGTGAACAAAAATTCAAAAGATTCGAATTCCATGGCCACACCATTAGCCTGACATAAAGCTTTGTCGATTAAAACCCAAGGGTTGTTGAAACTACCCGTCTCAATGACATTACATCATTCATTTTAGGTTGCCCCCTTCTGCACATGTATGGTTGGCCGGTGAAGCACACAAGGCAATATCGGCGAAACCGTTTTCCGTGGACATCTCAGCAGATGCACAACTTTTCGTGACCGTCCCGAATCCTCATAAGGTAGGACACTCGCTCATACATGTCTATTTTCAATACTTCGCACACATGATATATCATATTCTTGACAATCGAAATACAGTATACTAGGTATTCTGGATTTTAAAATGAATGATTTTGTCATTGAATTCGTTGAATTCGATTACCCTGTTAATTCCACTATTCCCAGGCCAATGTTGTACCTCCACAGCGCATTAATTCATGATGCATGCTAGCTATGCATCAAGAGTTTAAGCTATTTTATTTATATGTATTATCATTTTAAGGTGTTTGAAATGCTTGTTGTACGTTTTGGATTTTCATTGTAATCATATGTCTAAAAATCCTATGATTATAGATACTCACTCATGTATTTTTGGAGAAATGGACCGTTTTGGCCGAGGCGATAGGTGGTGTTAATGTTGCTGTTTCGTTTGAGCTATTTGCTAAGAATTATACCATATCGTTGCCCAAAGCAGCGCTGGTGGGAACATTTGCTCTGCTGGATATTGGTGGTAAGATAAATTTTGCTGTATATGAGATATACTGTAATTCGAGCACATTTAGGAGTTATTGTCATTGCATTAGTAAGATTGGGATATGATATGAGTACACTTAGGAGTTGTCTTCATTGCATTTGTTAGAATGGGGAATAATTGGAGTACACTTATAGGGAGTTGGCTTAATTGCATTCGTTAGAAAGAGGTATAATGGAAGTATATTTGAAGTTTGCCATTGCATTTGTTAGTGTGAACGAAAGATTACCTTAGCGTGTTGTTCTTGTCTCCTTGTTGGTAAGATGTTTCTTTCGTTTGTAATTTGTAACTTATCTTGATTATCTAACTTATCTAAAGTGTGCACACCTAAAATTATATCTAAAACTAATCTTCAACTGCCTATGTCTTTACATGTGGACAACCTGGGCTCAACTGACTAGTTTGGCCTCTATAGCATAATAATTAGCCCTTTTAAATCTCTGGTTACCTTTAAAATAACTTGGTATTGAGGCAATTTAGCCCTTGTAGTAAGTTTCTCTTCTTATTTATATTACACCTCCCCCCTTCTTGAGTTTGTCGTTACTCAGACAAGCTGTCATTTTAAAAACATAAATCCTGCTACTTGCAACGATAAAATTTAAAATTAATTTGGATGAATTTTCCAAATGCAAAAGTACTTCTTCCTTCTTTCCGTCAATTTACAAATTCAGCTTATAAATGTCAATATCATTCCACTAATCATACATTCAGGTTATAGCCTGGATAGACAATCAGCTGCTGCATTGTACTTTCCTGGTCTGTGTTTCAATTCAAATTTGTACTGCTGCAGAATGAGTATCCATCTACTAAGTCTTTGATTTGTGTTTTTCATTTCATTCAACCATTTCAATGGGTTATGGTCAGTGACTATTTCAAATTGCTTACCAAGTAAGTAATATCTCATGTGTTCTACTGACCAAACTATTGCTAAGCATTCTTTTTCTATAACTGCATAGTTTCTCTCTCGTGGAAGCAGTTTCCTACTGGCATACATGACAGGGTGTTCACCATCGTCAAATATTTGACTCAATACACCGCTGATTCCAACTTCAGAGGCATCAGTTATCACGATGAACATTCTGCCAAAATCTGGACTTCTCAGAATTGGTTCAGTAGCCAGTGCTTCTTTCAGCTTCTTTGTAGCATCATCTACTTCTTTACTGTATGGTAAGTTTGTTGGTACACTCTTCTTGGTAAGTTCTGTCAATGGAAAAGCTAAGTGAGCATAATCTGGGATAAATTTCCTGTAATATCCAGTCATCCCCAGGAAGGTTCTCAGCTTCTTCTTGGTAGTTAGTTTTCCTAATTTCTCTATTGCTTCTATTTTAAAATTGCTTGGTTTCACTTTGCCATCTCCTACTATGTGTCCAAGGTATTCAATCTCTTTGTAGCCAAACTTACACTTTGATGGTTTCACTGTAAGGTTGTGATTTTCTCAGTTTCTCCATTATAACTTGTATATGTGTAAGATGATCTTCAAAATGTGTACTAAAGATGACCACATCATCGAAATAAGCTGCGGCAAAATCTTCAGATCCTTGGATCATCATATCCATAGCTCGTTGAAAAGAAGCAGGGGCGCCATGCAGCCCAAATGGCATTCTAACGAACTGGAATGTTCCAAATGGCGTAAGGACACTAGTCTTCTCTTTGTCAGCCTCATTCAAGGGTAGTTGCCAAAATCCTCTACAAATGTCAATAACAGATATAAACACTGCCGTTGACAGTCCATCAATGATGACATCTATTCTGGGCATGACATATGCATCAAATTGTGTCACTTTGTTCAGGTCACGGAAATCAACACATAGCTTGATATCTCCATCTTTCTTTGGAACAATAACTAAATTCGATCCCCATTCACTGTTTGATGGTTCCATGATACCATTCTCAACTAGTTCGAGGATTTTAGTTTTCACTTTCTCTTGGTATGCATTAGGAAATCGTCGTAGTCTCTGTCTTACAGGTTTTGCATCTTTCGTTATGATGTGATGTACAACCAAATCAATAAGGCCTGGCTCGTCAGAAATTACATCATCATATCTGCTAAGGAGGTTTGTCAATTGAGTTTTCTCTGCTTCGGATATATCATTTGATGTATCAACCATAGCTTTAGTCATCTTGTCAGCATTAATGATGGGCCATTGTTCTGTGGCAGACTCTTCATCTAAATCTCTCTCATCAATCGTATAGGAGAAGAAACTTGCATTTTCTCTCTCATTGTACTTCTTCAGTAGGTTAACATGGTACGTCTTTGTTTTCTTCTCATCTACTTGTATTTCATAGTTGACCTTGTTGAGTCGTCTGATCACAGTGTAAGGACCTTGCCATTTTGCTTCTAACTTCATCTCACTCGAGGGTAGTAGTAGTAAGACCGTTTCACCTGGTGTGTATTCAATATCTCTTGATTTCTCATCATAATATCTCTTCTGTTTTTCTTGCGCACTTGCAGTATTTTCTTTACAAAGTTCTGCCATTGAGTCAAGCTTCTCTCTCATCTTGGTTACATAAGTGATGATGTTTTCTGGACTAGTTGCATTAGTTATCCATTGTTCACTTAGTATGTCAATAGGACCTCTTACTTGTCTCCCATACAACAACTCAAATGGGGAGAATCCTGTTGATGCATGTGGTACTTCTCTGTATGCAAAGAGTAAATAGGGCAAGTAAATATTCCATCTTTCTGGTTCATCGCTCACAAATTTCTTCAGCATTTTCACAAGAACTCCATTAAATCGCTCCACTTGTCCATTTGTTTGTTGGTGGTAAGGAGTAGACTGTATTCCCTTGATTCCCATCATGTTGTAGAGTTCTTTCAACAGTTTGGACATAAAGTTGGTGCCTTGATCAGAGAGTATTTCTCTCGCTACCCCAACTCGGCAAAATAGCGACATCAGTTCTTCTGCTATCTTCTTAGCATCTATCTTCTTCAATGGCACGGCATCAGGAAATTTTGTTCCATAGTCACCAGTGACAAGAATAAACTTGTTGCCTTTCTTTGATCTTGTGAGTGGACCAACAATATCCATGGCAATCTTGGTAAATGGCTCAGTGATGATGGGAAGAGGAATTAATTTCGCTCTGTTTGTTGTCATCTTTCTGGAAGTCTTTTGGCAAATGTCACACGACAGGCAAAATAATTTCACATCTCTGTGAATACCCGGCCAAAAGAATCGTTTTAAAACTCTATCTGTAGTCCTCTTGATACCCATGTGACCTGATAATGGTATATTATGTGCGAGTTCTAGGACTTTTCTTCTGCAACATCTTGGTAGTACTAACTGTTGTACTCTTTCACCACTCATTTTTGTCGTCTCTCTCATCATCAAACCCTCCTTCATAATGAAGTATGGTGTTTGATTAGTGTCAAGGTCTTCTTTAAGTGATTTCTTGATAGTACGAAGTGATGAATCATCATCTTGTAGAGTTGCAATATCTGCTTTTGTCAGCGTCTCAATATTAATAGTACTATCAGGAACAGTATTCATTTCTGTATATCTGTGTTTATCATGGCGTCTTTCACTCTTGGGTTTTCTTCTCTTTACTACATCAGCATCTTTGTTGAACAGATCATCATCAAACTTGAATGGAACATCACAAAAATCATCATCATCTACATCTATGTCTTTAACAGGAGTAAGTTTCACATCAGAATCATTGTTTTTCTTGTTGTCATCAGCTTCACTCTGTAATGTCTGTTTCCATTGCTGTCTTGTTGTAACGAATGCATTATTTCCTCTTTTATATACATATTGATTCATAAGCACTTTTCAGGAATTCCTGGAGTGAGATTTACTGTGTTTACGGGAGAAGACATGTGTTGCTAATTTCAATCCTCTGGGGTCTAATTTTATTAATTGTTAAATCTTTGAACATCATTGTAAAAATGATTTTGAAATATATATATAAAAAAAAAAATAAAAAATAAAAAATACATATTGATTCATCTTGTCAGTGTCCAGTCTGCTAAGGATGTCTTGTCCAATGATAACAGAGGCTGGTAAATCATTTGAAACTGCAGCTTGTACATTGTAAGTCTTATCGCCAATCTGTATGTCTGCAGAAGTAGTGGGGTATGCCTTGCTGTCCCCATGAACGCATGTCATTCTTACTTGATCATTGTGTTTGACTGCATCTAGGTCAATGAGATCACCATGCACAATAGTTTTACAGCTTCCCGTGTCCAAAATCACCTCAATTTCATCATTGTTTAACATAGCTAAAACTGTACCATCACCTCTTTGCAAGTACTGTGTAAATATGTCATCAGTTGCTCTACACAAGAATCCTCTTTTATTTCCAACGTAACATTTTGAAGTGGTGTGCCCATATTGACTGCATTTTTCACATTTGAGGGATGTGTCAACTTTACAATTTTCTGTAGGGTGAGCTTTGCCACAATTGTTGCACTTAACAGAAGTTTTACTTTCAGTCCTGAGTCCTGATTTGCACTCATCCGACTTGTGCCCAGTTTTACGGCATTTGAAACAAAGCGTTTCATTAGGGCAAGCTTTGGCTTGGTGCCCTGGCTCATTACAATTGTAACAGTTGTTGTGAGCGCCATCTGTCTTGCTGGTGTTGACATTCTTCTTCAAAGTTGTATTCTTGGTTTTGTTCCATACTGGTGGGTCACCTTTTCTGGCTTCTAAGAAATTATCTGCAAGCTTAACTACATCATCTGTTGTTTTAGCATCATTTTCTTTCACCCATGTTTGAACATCAGTTGAAAGAGTATTAAGTAGTTGCTCCTTAAGAACTCTGTCTTTGATTTTGTCAATTGTGTCAGCATCTTTCATCCACTTCTTAAAGGTGTCTTCCAGTCTGATTGTGAATGCTTTAATTCCTTCACCAGTGTTCCTCTTTAATGATCTAAAGCGTTTCCTGTAGGTTTCTTCATTGATGGGATATCTGTGAAGAATGGCTTCTTTTACGACATCATAATTTTTGGCATCTTCAACTGCAACACTCGCATATGCAGACTGTGCTTTACCAGTGAGATTAGGTCCTAATTTTAGAGTCCAGTATTCTCGCTTCCATTTGCACATCTCTGCAGTCCTCTCAAATACTGTGAGATAATTATCGATGTCTTCATCATCCTTCATCTTCTGGATTTGTGGATCAGTTGGTTTCTTTCTTAACTCCAACTCTTGTTGTCTAAATTCCGCTCGTAATCGCCTTTCTTCCTCGAGTTCATCTCTGTGGATCTTTTCTTGTCTTAATCTCTCCTGTCTCTCTGCCTCTAAGAGGTTATGTTGTTCTTTAAGTTGGATCTGCATCATCATTTGTTGATGTTGACGTTCTGCTTCACTGTTTTTCATCATAGCAGCCATCATTGTCATCATTTGTTTCATTGGGTCCATGGTATCTCCTTGAGCCCCTTCTTCATCAGCTTCATAAAATTCTTGTTTTTCTGTTGACATTGTGTTTGGTTTCTTCTTCTTCTTGGCTTGTTTTTGTCTATCTTCGAATGAATCGTATGTTTTGTTTCTAGTATCGGGCATTCCTTATACCCTTACATAAATAAACTTGCTCTATTCACACAGAATTGAAAAATAAAATCAATCAAATGTCTCAATCAAAAATACTCTCAAAATTCAATTGAATAAACTGTACATGTACTCTGGATCTGTACAGTTTGTTTATTTACATTTGCATTATGCAATTTGTTTTGATTTGAGTCTAGCCAAATGTATAATGTAATTCTAATTGATAAATTCAAAGGCTAAACTTTTCTCTGCATGAATTCAAACTCACTCAATTGATGTGAATAGAGTCATTATGACCTTCTAATAAAGTCAATGTAAATTAAAAATGTATCACTCACTTAAAAATTCTATTTAAGTGGTCAATAAGCCTGCCTGCAAAAATCAGTAAGAAATCTCAACACTTAACTCATTTCACACCTTTTCACCACATTTTATGAAATTCAATGTAATGACTGAGATCCCAATACCTAATCTTATACAAGGTAATTTTAATGCTGTTTGAAATTCAACAGTGCCGTTGAAATCTGAACACTCAAGCTGGCTAATTTTACACTAAACTTGGCTACTTATGCACTAAACTTGGCTACTTGGATTAGCAACACTGTACTATAGGACCTGTAATAACTATCAATATTGCAATCTAACTTGTATGAACATCTAACCTCTAAAAACAATCTCAATTGAGACTAAACATTGCAGTTTTCTGGAATGTACTTCAAAATTGCCTCTATAAATGAACTTCTACCATATAGACTTCTATAATGCTAAACTTCAATTACTTCTAAATTATGCACCTCTATATGCACATCTAATTGCACCTCTAAATGCACATCTAAATGCACGTCTAAATGCACCTCTAAAATAGCATTTCTAGAAAATCAACTTCTACCTCAATGAGCATCTATAAACTGACATCTAAGAAATTGTCCTTCTGGGACCATCTATAAATTGCAAACTTTAGTAACTGCTCTTCTATTAAAATAACGTCTACAAATTGCACCTCTAGAATATGCAAAACTACCTAAACTTCTAAACATCTAAACTTCTATAAATTGATTACCTTAGCGTGTTGTTCTTGTCTCCTTGTTGGTAAGATGTTTCTTTCGTTTGTAATTTGTAACTTATCTTGATTATCTAACTTATCTAAAGTGTGCACACCTAAAATTATATCTAAAACTAATCTTCAACTGCCTATGTCTTTACATGTGGACAACCTGGGCTCAACTGACTAGTGTGGCCTCTATAGCATAATAATTAGCCCTTTTAAATCTCTGGTTACCTTTAAAATAACTTGGTATTGAGGCAATTTAGCCCTTGTAGTAAGTTTCTCTTCTTATTTATATTACAGTTAGAAAGGGGTATAATAGAAGTAAACTTGAAGTTTTACATTGAATTTGTAAGAAGGGAGTATACTGGGAGAACACTTAGGAGTTGAGTTGTCATTGCATTTGTTAGAATTGGGTATAATGGAAGTATACTTCACGTGTCTCATTGCATTTGTCAGAAAGTGGGAGTACACTTCGGAGCTATATTCATTGCATTTGTTTGAATAGGATATAAGTAAATATGAATATAAGTAATGTACCAACAATTCTTGTTAACTAAACTAGAATTCGCGAATAGTAGTAGGTACTATTAAAATTTGAATGAGTTGGCCATGAAAATAGCTTTTGCTTCGTCAGCTGGCGAATGAACTCGCAAATGCTACCAAAGTTCTAGAACACGTGTACAATCAAAATTGAAGCCAAACAACAAATTCTAGTTCTGTTATATAATCATTTAATATTGTACATTTACGATACATAGAAATGCATTTTATTCTCATTCTACAGGTTTGGAGTTAAGGAAGTGGTGCGCTCCAAATGCCAATCCACCCGGTATGTTTGCCTCGTTCTACCTTACCGTTAACCCATTCAGAGATGTACCCATACTTCAAAACTGGGTGTTCAATTTCGACGTTATTGCTTATGGATTTCTCACATATGAAGTTTCTGATGATTTGGAGAAACTTCCAACGTACAGTATTTGGAATGATTTGCTAGAAGTTCAAATTATCGTGGAACATCTAGAGGGCCTAATTGCAGAAAATATTTTGAGATTCAAGGAGATGTTAACGTCCACCGCTGTTGATCTATTCAGCACATTTAAGATTGGGGTTTCTGAAACCATCGACGTGATTAAAAAAGCAATTAGTGATATCAAAGCTGGCAAGTTTCCATCAATTCCAGATTTGATCAAACCAGTAATGACTGCAATCGATAACATAAAAGGCAAATGGAACACATTTAAAGATGAAATTGAATTCAATATTGATGTCTTAAAATCAAATGTTACAACTTTCATCAATAATGAAGTAGAGAAAATTAAGAACAACACGAAGGTATTGATTGAGAAAATAACAGGTGAAATCATGGATGTGACAGAAAACTATTCAGGATATGGCTTGAAAGCATCTGTGGATATCAACATATTTGGTCTTCATTTTCCCTCTCTCGACGTAGAATTTGTCTACAGTGTTGGGTCGCTAGGGCAATGCAGTAGGTTTAATTATATGTATAACATACTTAAAGGAAAGAATGCCTTGCGAGCGATGGGTATGTTTACTGCTTACAAGAAATTTGGATATATCTTGGAGGTATCGAAGGGCTTTGGATTGGAAATTGCATTTAGCGAGGAAGCCATAGAAAAGACAATTGTACATTTCACTGCTAGATCTAATTTCCTTGGTCTAAAAAAACGTGTCGACGTGTTCATATCTCTGTACAAACTTGGATTTGGCTTTGAAGCAAATGTATTTAACATATTCCGTGCGAGAATGGATGTCGAGTCTACAGTTCCGGGTTTCACGCCTTTTAAAGATCTACTATATAGAGTGGCAGTTCAGTTTCTCCCTGGCGGAGATGACTCCTTTGAAGGGAGCTTTGGTGATGCACTGAGGCGGGTTATTCAGAACATTGCTAACGAAGCAGAGGACAGATTAACGGTTGCACAAGATGGACTGGCGGCAGCAAGAGGCGATCTTACGAGAGCACAACAATGGTAATAAAAATTAAACGATCATATTTGCAATACTTTTTTGTAAAGCACGTCGGCCATAAACATTTTTTACTTGTGGAGAGGCCAAAAAAATCATATTATGAAATGTAAAAAATAATGTAATATAATAAGAAAATTGTCATATTTTCAGGTTGTACACATATTCAAATTTATATTTAAGGCTCGAAGATAAAAAGAGTGACGTTGACAAGGCAAATGTTGTATTCGATAGAGGCGTTCAAGCGCTACAAAGGGCAAAGGATGCTGTGGAAGAAGCAAAGGGTCCTCTAAAAACAGCGTTAAATAAACTAAGTGCAGCCCAAAAAAATATTGACAACCTTTGTAAGATTACAGATTGTAAGCCATGGTGTATCCCAGGGATCAAATGCAGGTTCTGCACAAAGAAAGTTTTGTTCGTTAGAATACCGTGGCTATGTTGCTCCTGGACAAGCTGCATGATAAAATTTCCTAATCTCCTTTGTTTGGCTAAAAATGCTGCGTGCTGGGTAATAAGAAAACTTGCTTATGTGGCCTTGGAGATAGCCAAAATTGGTGTTCGAGCCCTTATGCTCCCATTTGACATTGCAAAGGCGGCACTTAGTGTAGCACAACTCGTTGTAGATAAGGCTAGAATAGTATTAGATGTCGCAAAGGGAATTCTCACGCTAGCTCAAGTTGGATTGGAAGCAGCTAAAGGAATTCTTAAAGGGACTGAGCTTGCTATCGAGGCAGTTAAAATAGCGGTAAAATTGGGTTTAAAACTCGTGGACTTGATAATTCATCATGGTCTGCAAAGTTTGATTGATATAAAAAAATGTGGTTTTTCTGCTGAAATCTCAACAAAGGACATATTCGTGATTGATGTATTCTGTGAAATTAATGTGCTTCGACTCGGATGGCGAAACATTAGTGTAACTATCAATTTTCGAAATATATTAGAATCACTCTGGAATGCGGCAAAATCTGTCATCGAACACCTAACAAATATGATTTTATTTGGACGTAGGAAGCGGGAAATAGAATACCGGCAGTCACATATTATCCATAAACTGTATCGTAGCCTTCGGGAAGTTGATGATTTAGATGGACTCATAACTGATGGTGTAGATAGTGATATCCTATCAGATGTCTTGAACAGTACAATCGATGTGACAGAAAAATACGAAATGCAAAATGAAACCGCAGATGAGGATGAAACAACAATAAGAATAGAAGCTTTTAAACGAAAGTGTGAGCAATATAAAAAGATTGAAGAATTTCTTACAGGAGCTGCCCAATCCCTTTTTGAAATCACAAATGAGACAATAACAGGGATCAATGCTTCAAGAATTGATCTAAACAATGATGAGCTGAACACTTCGAACGTGGGGTCGATTGGGATAAATGTAAATGATGGACTGACTATTGATGATTTGGGAAAGCTTGGAATCAATGTTACAGACGCCTTTGTAAACTATGGAATAACACCAGAACAATTGATTTTGACAATAAAGGGCGCTAATATTGAACAAGACGAATCTGTAAACGAACTAGAAAAGACCATGAACCAGACGAAGTTAGAAAATGAAAAACAGTTACAGAACGCTGAGACCTTTCCCCTTATGTACGTCTGGCGAAATGCGATGGAAAATGCAACTGTTTTCTATTGGGACGAGGATCGATGCAATGGATTCAAAGACTGTATGCTTATAAGTTTCTTAGAACTTTTCGATCTTTACAATAATACAGACGCCCCAGGTGCAGACGATATGAAATACATGACCCTCAAACTGTCTGAATTATTTTCGGATCTCATTGATAGCAAAAACATCTCTAATAATGAAGCAATGGAATTGACAGATGCAATTTTGAAAGTTCTTCAACATGCAACGGAGAAGAAAGTGTTTTGTGCCAAAGCTCCAGAAATAAAAATACCAACTGAGCTTAATGTGAAACTTGGGGAAAAGTTCGCCATTGTCTGTAAGACAACTGGGGATTTAATAAAAGACATACATTGGGAACGGGAAGGTGAACTTTTCAATGCGTCGAGTAATGAAACGATTGATACAACCGCGAGCTTAGATTCTGAAGGAAGGTATACATGCGTGGCATCCAATCACATCGCTACTGTCAGAGCAACAATGTATATCAGCTTGATAGAGCCACCTGTAATTGTTGAACATCCCGAATCAACGATAGCTACAGTTGGTAACCCCGATGGTGTAACATTTAAGTGTGTTGTCAAAGGTATTCCAACACCGAATATCACTTGGAAACGCATATTAAACGACGGAGAGAATGAAGTATTGAATGTGACAAATGCACAATTGACAGTGTTTAATCCTAAAAGATCTGACGAGGGCAAGTATCTATGCGAAGCAAATAATCAACACGGCAGTGCTTTGTCTGACCATGCAAGGTTACGAGTATTGGAAGCTCGGGTTGCGTTCCCTGGTGTGTATCTGAGACTTGGCTACATCAAAGTTGTGAAAGAAAATAACATCACTAAAACGGAGTACAATCTTCCATTGTTGCACCATAACGAAACGGAGCCAGATTTAAAGCTCGCAATAAAAAAGATTTTACGAGACACGGATGAACCTTCTTTGCTGGTCATGCATAGTTTAACTAGCGATGGAAACACTGATGGCGGGGCGATCACCCTTCAGCTGCGTATTGGGGAATATAAAAGTATGACTAATGAAGCCTACCTAGAAATGCAAACTTTATTTGAGAACTGGTCAAATTTGTTGGACAGGATATTGCAAAGATTTGAAGACTCATGCGAGAACGAGCAGATCCTTACAAAACAGACTGATGCACAATTGCAGTATGCTTTTGATCGATCGCAATTTGCAATTAGTCGAAAGACAGAGTGTCCACGTGGACACGAATTATATCCGGAAGAGAAATGGCGTATGATATGCGGTATGTTTTCATATCATTCACTTTATAAACTATATGACATGTATCAAAAGTAAAAAAAATGTGTCATTTATTTATTGAATAGCAGCCTGACATAATAATAATTATTTAGGCATCATTTGAAGTGTATACACGACACAGCTAGCCTATATTATACAATTAAGCTACTCATTTGCAATTACGTTTGCATTTGACTTTTTTGTAGTTCCATGTTTAGAAGATACATCATTTACACTGGAGGGGGAGCAAAAGAGACTTTGTGTCCAAAAATTGAAAAACATGACATCGTAAGTATAAAAATCAAATGGATGCTACATTTTCATGTCCATTGGCCATTATGTTACGCCATTGTAGCATGTCCATTGGCCATTATGTTACTCCATTGTAGTCTGCTTTAATGCTACATTTTCATGTCCATTTGGCCATTATGTTACGCCATTGTAGCATGTCCATTGGCCATTATGTTACTCCATTGTAATCTGCTTTAAAAAATGAGTCTACAGTCATCTTTGGTATACTAATTTCACACTCGGAGCTCGAAGAAAGTGTTACTCTATTTCTGTTCTCTCAGTTTATACGATAGTTCAGTAATATGTAAAAAATAGTTTCATCCATGTAGTCCCTTTATTTGATTATAGAACTTCTCCAATCAATGCATAAATGTTTCAGTGACTGTCTCACCGGTGATATGTGTAAGGATAATGACCCCGAAAGATGCCTGTTCGACGATTGTGAAGTGGAAGAAATCAACATTAGTGATAACGTGAATGGTGGATTGAAACCAGAGATAATTGGATTAATCACTGGTGGAATTTTACTTCTTGTGGGTATTACAATCGTCTGTATTATATTATTATGCAGAGGAATGAGACGAGCCGCTACTAAATCCAAATATGAAAACCCACGAGACACTACTGATACACAACATGATATCGCTGAACTCAAGCCTATGGAATGTATTCTGTATAAAAGTTCGACTATGCCTGATACGAGTCAAGATTAAATGTGGATATCTACTTATAAAATCTTCCGAATGTCATTAAAAGGCGTGGTCGGAGAACAAATGATAGATCTGGGAACATATATACACTGTAGAGTGTAGAGTGTGTGTATATCTTATTTATAAAACGCATTTGTAGAATATTCATGTAGTAGTTATCATTCAAAACGTTTAATCAATCAAAACAAGTAATTTGATAATATAACATGAAATATATGAAGTGTTTTCAACATAACCAGCACTTCTATAAAGGCAAACGCTTAGATTGCTTTATGGTTTTTGACGTTGGAGTAAAAATCTCATTTTGTAGAGTAATGTCAATATACAAGGGGCGTACAGTAAGATGGCACACGGTCTAACTTTCCCATTCAATGTTTAAACTTAATATTTTCGCAAAATGTTTATTCGTTTGAATGGTACATGCAATTTCGTTGAAACATCTTTTATTTTCGCATTAACATGCCTAGAATGATGTTTATGGGAAAGATTGTGCACTTAATTCAATCGTGCCCAATTATTCTATGATAATGGACTTTGTGGGAGTGGAGTGTGCCAAAATCACAACGATACAAGGTCCCGATCATCGATGTCTAGTCACAAAAGTACTCAAATCTCAAAATAATGTTTTGACCTGAGCAAATGAGTCATTTTTCTTGTTTATAATATTATATCATATTTGTTGGTCATGGTTCTTGTCCCTGTGAAAACTCAGTTGCACTCCTATACCTTAGTTCTCCTACTTTTGCCAGTGCTAACCCTATATAATATGCATCAATCTAAAAATCATGATAATATTGTGCAGAAAATAAATAGAATAAACGAAATTACGAAATTCTCAAACTAATGCTTCATAGTGTGTTAACCACTAAAAGTAAAATTACTATAGTGAAAATGGAAAGAAATGTTTGAAATTCACGTTCAAGTTTTGTTAAATACGTGTAGCTTAACCGCTCTATTATAATGTGTCGAGATGACGAAGTTTCCAGAATTTGAGTAAATATCACTGAATCTACAAAATGTAAATACAGTTTGTATTTAGAATGTTTTCATTTTTTGAAGGTGACATTGAACATGTAATATTAAGGCGCATAAACATATATGTTTAATAAAGTTTTCACTTATAAGCGAAATTTCTTTGTTGTAAGGATATTAAGTACTTTTGAAATTCACCTTGGTCAGTTGGTTGGGATTATTGTGTTGTCAATTTTCATGCTTAAATTTGGCCTATTCAATAGGGAGTTTAAGCTTGCATATAAAATACGCCAACCTATACGTATGACCAATCGCACATACAAATGCATCGCTTAAATATTTTCAGTTCACGTTTAGGTTGTGATAGTCTTGCTGCTCAAAGACTGTACCCCCCCCCCCGTCACCTTCACTCTCTTTACCTGGCAATATACAGTCTTGTAATCACTGATTTTATGCAGTGCTGCCACCTTCCTAAACGGATCCGGAAATCATGAATTATTAATGAGGTTGGAACTATTTGATATATCTTACACCAGACATGTTTTCTTGTAGTGAGTTTTAGTTAGTAATACTTTTTATTTTATGCTTTTAAACCTTTGTTAGAGGAGGATTTAAGTTTAGAAAAGTATTTCTGTACACAACAAGATAAAATCATGGAAATATAAGTGCAAGTATGAGGAACTATTTTCTTGGCAGTGAAGAGGAAATTTTGCACACGCTACTGTTTACTAAAATAGCCATGTGCTGCTCTAAGAACAAGAACCTGATTGGCTGATCAAAAGGTCTTAAGATATAACCATCTAGCATGAATAATTCATATCAGTGTCAACTTACTGGTGGTTACAAGACCCTAGAGAGAAGGATAAAGGGGGGGGGGTACAGGGTCTTTTAAGCAAGACTAAGGTTGTGAAAAACATTGTAAGCTTAAACTCTCTATTGTTTTAATTCGTCGGGAAAACTACCGGAAGAAATCGATCGACATAAGTAACCAGTTCTTCTCGCCCAGTTTGGACAAATAGAATTAGTACAAAAGACGATGTATTTAGATAATTGCTACTAAACGCTGAACTATGGTTGTTTGCTTGATTTATTGTTATACAAAATTATACAATATACAGGCATTCATTTTAATGACAATAAAAACCCATGTCATGACATTGTCTTTTACGTACAAGTTTCTGCATATGGTGAAATGTAGATTAAAATCATTGGTTAATAGGTTAACAAGTACTGTTTTCCAAGTATCCATACGTTTCATACCTGCCTTATAAATATATTAAATATGATATAGATTTAAATTCTTTCAAATACATATACAGTAAACTCATCCAATATCATATATTTAGCGTCATACAATTGCCGCAACTTTTCATGTTGTCTGTTCAGGAAGTCATATAATCATGCAATGCACTTGTACATGGTCATAATAATATTCATATCTCAAGTTGCTAGCCATAAACTTTTTGAAGCTGTCAGGAATTATTCAAAGGCAGAATCAGATCTACAGGGCATGACAAAATTGCAAGTAACGTGTACAGTTGACCTACATATGTATTTTCTTACAATCTCAAATGAATATGATAACTCCCAAACGATCCAGAATATATTTATGAATTGGTGAAATTATTAGGATTCAAAGTGCAAAAATATGGAAATGGGCAAAAATAGAAAAATGAATGTATTATTGCAAAAATCTTTAGTTTTCTACAAATACAGTACTATATACTTTGGGTATTTTTAGAAAATAGACAAAAATAAAGAATGAATCAGCCCAAAATATTTTATAATTGAAACAATATGTACTGTACTGATCTGATCCCATCTTTAAAGCTAAAAATTTCAACTCTCGCTTTTAAATTCACAGAGGCAGAACTACGATAGCCTAGACCCTAGCTACATGTAGTAACTAGTCCTGGTATTACAGTGGCATGTATGGACACTTAATGCAACCACATGCGTTATATTGAACTTATATATTTTACTGTACCAAATTTTCCACTTCATTTTAATACTGCTTTGTGTCTTTGTGCATCATTCTCTTGATGTTTCTCCGTTTCCATCAGTTCATCTCTGCGGACAGCAATTAAACCGTTTTCTTATATCTTGGCTTACAGTGAAAATAATCCCTGTACATCAATCGTTTCACAAAGGCTATAATTGACATATAAGAGAATTACATATATAGAGATTATCCTATATATTATCCTATATATCCCTTTGCCAATAATATAATATATCTACCCTCGGGACCTACGGCCCTCGGGCAGATATATTATATTTCCTTGGGATAATCCCAATATCCTGAACCGACTATATAAGCATCCGCCCGATATACTATATCTGCCCGCTGACGTAAAGCTATATCTGCCTGCTGATGAAAATATAAGATTCTACAAACGGCTTTATGTAACTGAAACACGCCCAAGTATGGGATAAATTGAATCATCCCAGTAGGAATTGCTTACGTTTGGTGTGATATAGTTCGGAACCATTTTCTGTAAAATTCAACATTTTGGTATGCCATCCGCAGAGGTTTGGAGATGATTAATCTCCGCGGCGGGAGAATGAGTGTGAAGTTTAAAAACATATCACGTATAAATGTGTCACATTTATCACATTCCAGTTTCAACTGGTTCTTGTTGATCATGATTGTTCATAACTTTACTTAGGTCTTCTTTACTCTCATCTTTGTAGTCGTTATAGTAAACGTATCTAGTTTCCTTGAGGTGCACGTAATTTGCTCCCGCATTTGTACAAAAATGAATCTGAAGAATAAAACATAAAAGGTATTCCATGTTTGCAACATTTGTATGCTTATTACACATGTCATAAAGTGCATATTATACAGGCCCGTAGCCAGGGGGGGGGGTCGGAGGCCTGGCTACGGGCCTGTTATAGATACAAGACGTCATCAAATTGTACATTGAGGAACACCATTGGTAAGTAAACAATGTTGTCATATGCACGTAGTGACATCTATAAATATATAGACAAGAACATCTGCAACAAAACTGAATTAACGTTGTAATTTCAATCAAATGAAGCCAATTCCCTAATTTTTTGCAGATTCATATGAATAAATGTGAGGTTAGCCAGAATGTATCAAAGAAACGTCTGCGGAGAAATGACAATATAATGAAAAAATGATCTATATTATAATATAGACAAGTTATACATACAGCATATACTGGTATATGCATCTATTATTGCGGATACAATTTTTAAATAATGTACAATATGTAAAGGGGTGACATATCCATGTAATATATAGGCTATTTGTATTAGTTTAATTATACTATCTACATGGAGAGAATATCTTACCAGACTAGCTTTGACTAATATTGCAGATACATAAGCGACGATATAGCAGACAGAAGCGTCCAAGCACTGAAAGAAGAAAACAGAAACAGGAACTTTTTTATTTAAATGCTCATAGATTTTTAATGTAATCATGATATTATAATATCAAATAAAAATATAATGAAAGTACAAAAAGTATACACTGTGTTCCTATGTATGTATGGAGATATATTTCTTGCTCTTATCATTTGAAATGAATAAATGGCATAAAAATAAAACAAGGAGAAAAAACAAAACTTTTTAATTCCTGAATTAATCATATTCAACGTAATACTAGTAAGACAAAGCATACTTCGTAAGTATTAGAACTAGTATAATATGATCAACTCTCCAACTACCATTTTTTGATATAACATGTAAAAACAGGTTAATCTTGATTCAAAACACATTGAAAGTTGGAGATGCAATAGGTTCATAGACTGCAAATTCTAAGAGGATCATAATCTTTAGGCGATCGTTATTTATTCCGATCTCGTTGTCAGTGAATATACATGTAGCCCCTGACTTATATTCCTGACTCTTGCGGTTCATATACCCTTGGTTCCTAGGGGAGTACCCTGACAATATGTTGTGAAGTACTGAACCCCTTGTAATCTCTACCCGTATGGTATGGAATGAATAAATGGATATACCTGGTCCCAAAGCCGTGTCAGAGCAGCACCACAATACTCTTGGTCAACATCTGTAATCGCTGAAAAACCAAATCCAAACACCGGGATTATCCCTTCTTCCATTTAGTAAAAGGGCTTTACGTCGTAATTTCTATAACATAATTCTGGCAACGCATTACATTTAAAAAGACTTAAATATCAATCGCGAAATCAACTGCCTGCCGGTGGTTCATCCTACTCATTTAAACATGAATGAAATAGTGAAATGTACTATCAATATTCAAATAAAAGGGCCATAAAATAGTAGGTTAAATCGTCAGCAGTTAGCTGAATTCGCAAATGCTTCCTAAGATATGCTTATTTTGTGACAAAAAACTAAGTGAAATAAAACATATGTTTGTCAGTAGATATAACATACCGTAATGTTTTAAATTTATACATGGCAAGTGGTAGCCATTGTGCAAGACGTGTAGCAGCAGTATATAGTAGGGGAACTGTGACGACACAACATACCAAAAGCCACGCTATTGATACCAAATATGTGACACCAATCAACTGAAATAAAAAAGAAAAAAGATAAATATAGCAAAAATAGGGATATGTATGTTAAAATACCAAAAAGCGGTTACAGAACGCAGCAATAAATTAAAAAGAATACATCCAAGAGTACACCAGTCATAAAGAAAACAAACCCCAACTACCCCTTATTTAACCCAACGCGAGGAGAACTTTTATCCCTTTCCCCACCTAACCTAACCAATACCAGTGAGGTAGTTTTGTGTAATTGTTCATTGATCATGTAATAGCTACTTTGAGCTGTCAAAGTCACTATTTTCTA